AGCATCTTTTCATGTGCCTGTTGGTCATCTACATTTCCTCTGTGAAAAAATGTATTCAGTTCTTCTGCCCATTTTTTAATGAGGTTGCGTTTTTTTGACATTATATTAGCTGTTTACGTATGTTGGCTAATAACCCCTGTTGGTCATATCACTTGAAAATATTTGAAATATAGAGAATCAAATGATGCAATTGGTGAGTATCATCCCAGTCATGCCTGTCTTTTTCGCTGCAAGCTTCTTAATCTAGTTCAAGCTTGGTTTGGCTGAAAAACATTTCAATTAAATGTGAATGTAAAACTTAGTAACTAGATTTGCCCAAATAATTTTAGGACTTCCCTCATAGCTCAGTCGGTAAAAGAATCTGCCTGCAATGCAGAAGGCTTGGGTTCGGTTCCTGGGTTGGGAAGATCCCCTGGAAAAGGAAATGGCAACCCACTCCTGTGTTGTTGCCTGGAGAATCCCTGTGACAGAGGAACCTGGCAGGCTACTAGTCCATGAGGTCACAGGAGTCATATACGTGACTTAGTGACTAAACCACCACCAAATAATTTTAGAAAATCATTGATATTTCCCAGAGATTTTTATCACCAAGGCAGGGGGAAATGGTTTTACATAGCACAGAAGATAGACATTTATGTGAAAGAATTAAGGTTCCTAACATAAAACTGAAAAAAGCCAAAATGCCAAACTGTATAATAGTGGTTAAGTAGGTTATGTATTGATACATTCACAGGTGGGTAGGTTATTTAGCCATCTAAAGCTATATTTGCAGAGACGTTTCAGTTGTTAAAATGTTCATGATATAAGGGGAAAAGTCAGGATATAAAACTGTATATGAGAATTTGCATCCCTTACCTGGGTTACCACAAAGACCCTACCTATCATCCTTCTTCTGCTCCAGTATGTTATGTTGCAGCAGTCACCTGTCTCCAGCATGAAGCTGCTGTCACACATGACCTTCAGGGTGAAATCTCTGTTTCTTTTTTACAGTTTACGTATATCTTTTGGGGCTTCCCAGGTAGCTCAGTGGTAAAGAATCTGCTTGCCAGTGCAGGAGACTGCAAGAGACGGGAGTTCGATGCCTGGGTCAGGAAGAACGCCTGGAGAAAGAACGGCAACCCACCCCAGTATTCTTTCCTGGAAAATTCCATGGATCACAGAGCCTGGTGACCTACAGCCCATGGGGTTGCAAAGAGTCAGGCATGACTGAATGAACCCTTTGGTCATACCTGTCTCTCCTACTTCATTTCTCTCAGCTGCCCACATCATACTCTCAAATTTATATCCCCAGCCCAGACATTTCCTCTGAACTCCAGACCCCAAGGACTGCAGCCTGCCAGGCTCCTCTGTCCATGGAATTTCACAGGCAAGAATACAGAGTAGCTTGCCATTTCCTCCTCCAGGGGACCTTCCTAACCGAGGAATTGAACCTATATATCCTGCATTGGCAGGTGGATTCTTTACTTCTGAGCTACCTGAGAAGCCCCCTCAGAATACACTAGCTCCTAATTAGCAAGTCTCTTCTGAGGAGCGGGACAGGGCATTCTGGCATATACCAAAAGGAGTTGTGTAATAATGGACCTGATTCCACAGGCAAGAGGAGATGTAAATCGCTCTACCTTTGGCTGTCCATCAACTATTGTCATAGTAGTCACGGTTGGAGAGGCCAGCTGGCCAAGTCTGAATAGAACAGGCAGCTCCAGTGTCTACCAGAAATTCAGTTCTCCTACCTGCCACATTCAGGGTGACCCGAGCCCCCATTGGAGAAAGGAGGATGAACCCAGTAGGATCTGGAGCCAGGTAGGCTCTTGGGCCCCATCAGTCAGCGTGCAGATGTTCGCAAGGAACTGGGGCCGCTTGAGGTTGCCCCTCTAGCGTCCCATAGGAGGGCAGTCAGGCCATTCCCCCTGCAGTGCCCCTCCTCCTGACAAAAGGCACACTCATTCAGGCCCAGTCGACTTCTTGTCATTCTGCCTAGCCTCCTCAGCCCTCCAGGGTCCCCTTGAGGTGGTGGGTGAATCAGAGCAGCCGAAAGCTGTGTTTTATTTATTAGCTTCTTGTCCCTGGTGGCTCAGTCGGTAAACAGTCCGCCTGCAATGCAGGAAACCTGGATTCAATCCCTGGGTTGGGAAGATCCCCTGGAGGAGGGCATGGCAACCCACTCCAGTATTCTTGCCTGGAGAATCCCATGGACAGGGGAGCCTGGAGGGCTACAGTCCATGGGGTTGCAGAGTTGGACACAACTGAGCAACTAAGCACATATCCTTATTGGCCTCTTCCATTAAGTCTTGGTTGGTATAGACCTTGAAGGCCCCCTCTACCAAGGTTGACAATGGGGTTTAGGCCAAGCCTCCAGCTTTTGTAATTTTCTCCTGACATCATGAGTAACCTGGGTTATAAAATGCATGGCCAGTAGCGTCTTTCCTTCTGCAGGCTCAGGGTCTGAATTGGTATACTTGCTGACTGCCTCTGTCACCTGGCTCAGGAAGCCCGCCTGAAACAAGAGGTGGCCACTTGTCACCATGGGGAACTTGTCACCGTGGGGAAGCTGCATTTGGTGGTCCTGGAGGCACTCAGATCCCCTCCCAGGACGGGGACTACCGCCCCACACTGGGCACCGTACATCTGTCAGCAACCCTAGTTCTTGGCCTTCCTTAATCAATAGAAACTAATAAGAGGCCAAACAAATGCAGGCAAGGCTTTATCGGTGGAGGAACGCGAACAAGTAATAGGTTCCCTTGGTCACTCCCTGGGGCGGAGGGGCTGGTTTGTTCCTTGGTGAGGGTAGGAGTACGTCCAGAGGTCAGGTCAGAGGATGGCCTAGGTGGTCTGTGTGTGCAGGGGGCGTGCCCACTGCCCTGCTTTTGCTCTCATCTCTTCAGAAGTGAGAATTGGGGTTTTTGTTTTGTTTTGTTTTTTTACCTTTTTGAATCTTGTTGTCCATGATTTGCCCCAACCGCTCATGCATAATTATTTTTAGTTCCTTATAGTTTCTCTGTATTTTGTTGCTGGAGATGTTTGTCCAGGTACAAGCACTGCAGCAAAGGCTTCCAGGTCCCAGCCTGTCTCATGTTTACTTCTATCAGTTTCATTTTCAACTGAAGACATACTTGTTAATCAGACCTAGTGAATACCCGTGGTAGCAGAGTGAATGTACATCCAGTCTACAGCCTACAACCCTACTGCTCCCTTTATAAACCCTTTTATCACATCTAAAGCCCAGACTGAGTCTCTGGGTATCTAGGGGTCAGCTAAAGTCTTCCTCCCTGCCCTTATGAAGCCTACAGTATGCCCTTTCCTTCTAAACCCTCCAAGCTTCATGGGCTGATATTCCCATTTGATATTGTCTCTGTTCTTCGCTGATCTCTTTGAGTTGCCACACTCATGATGTCAAGTGTCCTTCCTCTGAGAAAACTCTTCCCTAGCCTTCTTCCTGCTCTCAGGGAATAAAGGTCCCTGAGCCTGGCTTGCAGGCCTGGCCCTGTTCTTCAGTCAGCCTCATGGCCCCACAAATCATTCACCCTCAACTACAGCCCGATCTCTGAACGTGTGTTTTGACTACATACAGGCTTGTTATCCTAGATACAGCGTCACCTCCACTGGAAAGTCTTCCCTGATTCTCCCAGGCTACGTCAGCCTGAATGAACATTCTGCTCCACCAGGATGGTTTCTCGGCAGGACAAACATTTTGAAGCCAGTGTCAGTGTCTTACTCATTTCAGCATCTCTAGTTCATGGTACTTAAGAGGTGTCAGTTAATGTGGAATGATCTCATGGGAACTTGGGAAAATTTCCATGCATCCCCTAATGCACTGTCTTTTCCACCAGTCTCATGAATCTTTTTCCTGAAGAACCTCAGTTGTCTTCCTAGCCCTTAATGCCAGCTGCTTATCTGCCTTGCATCCCCCAGACACACTGAGTTGACAGACCTGTGGGACTCTGTGACAGTGGACCGCCACCTGCTGGTGAGACAGTGTCCAGGCCAGTGACAACTCAGGGCTGCAGACAGGAAGGGTTAAGACATTCCACAAAGAATATAAACCGCTTCTCAGGATAACATTTGCAAATGCACAGTGTAAAGCACATAGATTACAAGTGAAACTAATCATCATGAAATAGAAGGTGTCAAAATATTAGAAAATGTATGTATTATGTAGATATGTATAGTATGTATATTTGTATCTCATTAAATAACAAAATCTAGTGATAGGTCCAGTAACTACTATAATTTCAAAATGATGAACAAAAATGATAATTGAAGATGTCTGCAACATCTCTAATGTGAGATGAAACATCTGTGATTTCTACTGCTGACATAGTCACAAGTACTGCTGATAATATTAGTTTGTTGCCTATATCCATAAAGAAAGGAAATGCTGAAATTCGGTTAGTTTAGTGAAACTACCTATCTTTCTCATTCAGGTACAACGATACCCTGAATTCTACCCGTGGATCCCTTGTGTGCGTATAACAGGGATCCACAGACTCCAGGTTAAGAACCCCTGAATGAGGTTTTAGAAGCATGGCCATCACTTTCCAATATGGCAGAGAAGCCAGTGGTTAATTGTGTGTGTCTCTTGCTTGACTGTAATGCATGCAGTTGTTGGGAGAGGAGCTGTGGAGGAGGCCGTGGAGTTCAAACTTTTTAATTCCATGGACATCACCAGGGCTGTGAGCATTCGCCTGACCTTCCCCTGACCCAGCATGCTTCCTCATCTATAAAATGACAATGCTTTCCTCACAGGTGGTTGAAAGGATTCATTAAGTTAACATGTGAAAAACTCCTAGGGGCCAAATGTTTGCTGTTAAATGGGAATGATATAAATGTCTGTAGAGAAAATACATCAAATGTAACTTCTTCAAGAACAAAAACCCCGAAGTCTGACCTGCCATACACCCTGGAAGACACCAGTGTACTCGGACAATAGTAAACCGTTTCCAGGCTAAGTCTGCCCTGCTTTCCCCACCGCAGTCCAAGAGAACAAACCCAAATGCAAAGAGTTTCTCACCTTGTTATTTTATTAGAAGCATATTTACATTCTTGCAGTTAATTTTGCAGAGAACACTTTACAAAAGTTTTTTATATAAAGTTTGGAAACTACATAAAAATAACTTCTCCATAAAAGGGAAAATATAAGTTAGTTCTATTTACTCTGCTAAAAACTGACTGGAAATGAGAAACAGTTCCGTCTGTCCCTTCCAGAGAAAACATTAGCACAGAACACGAAGAATACTGCATGGGCTTCCTCAGTGAGGGGCGTCATACTGGCTTAACTGTGAGCCTGGGAGACCCAAGCGGACCCCATCCAGAAGGGACAGGGGAGCTAGTAGGGCTCGAGCAGTGCTGAGCAGAAGGCGGCACCTCCTTGAGTGAGACTCCAGTGTGAAGGACTTCCACCTAAACCGTGGGACTGGCCTCTCCTGATACTCGCTCTCATTCCCCAGGCTGCGGAAGGCAGCACTGTAAACAAAGCCCAAATCAGCCCTGCCATCGGCCAATGCGAGACCCTTCGCCCGGTGGAACTGTGTCTGTGTCCTGTCGTTACGCTGCCGCTAGTTGTGTTTCCCCAGCACCTGTGCACCAAAGAGAGTCAGAGGGGACCGTCATTTCCTTATCTCATCTGTGGGAGGCCTGAAAACTATCCCTGCTGGGTCAAATACTGAAGCAGGCAAGCTGAGTGCTCACTAACCTAAGCGGACCAGTACCTTCCCACGGCCCTCAGGGCGTCTTCACTGCATGTTTAAGTCTGTGGAACCGCAAGTCCCTTCTCCTATTGAATGGTTACCCTCCTTTCCAAAATCCAGTTACAAGAGGACCCAGAAAACTTCAGGGACTTGCTGTAGACAGAACATCTAACCTTAACCTATACGTGAGAAAGAAAGAGGAACTCTTCCCAGAGTGTTAACCACCCATTACCAGCAAACTCATACCCAGAATCAGTATGCCCATTTGACTCGTCTAAGTCAACCTTCGTGTTTTTCTGTTTTTTTTTTTTTAAAGCAGATGTTCTCCTAAGGAAGATATTCATTTATATCAAGTTAGACATAAAGGTGGGGGGAAAAAAAAGGTTTTCTTTGTAGATGAATCAAATGCTGGGTTGAGCATTCGCTTTACTGGGTTATGTATGCCCTAGCCCATGGGGAGTGGGATCTCTGGGAGGCCGGCTGAGGCACTGAGGCCCAGGACTCCATCTAAGACACAGAAGCTTTGCTTCTGTCAGGTTTCTGGGGGCAAGAAGCACTCCATATTTCTCCCTGATGTTGTTTCTCCCTGAAGAGAAGGTGCAGTGCCTGTGAGCCTCTGTCTGAAGTGTAAGGCTGGACCCTGAAGTAGGAGGGACACAGCGCAGAGGGAAGTGGCCTTCCTGTATCACCTGCAGACAGGATGGGCAACCGTGAGACAGAGGGACTGGCTGGGCAAGTCTTGTGGGACAAGGAATTTATCCCTGAACATAGGATCCCTCTGTGGGGCCAAAAAGGCATCACAGACTGGCAACTCAGCCTGTACCATCTGTGCCTCTGGGGCCAACACCCAGCGCCCCCCCACCACCCCCCGCCCCATACCAATGGCTTGCCCTATGCTCTGTGGCATGGGCTCAGCCAGCAAGTACCTTCCAATGCACCCAGCACAAGAGGCCCAGGGCAGAGGCAAGCCTGCGCAGCACCAGCAGGCCCTGTTCTGTGTGCATAGGAAGCGGGGGGGATGTGTGTGCAGAAAGGGGGAGCACAAGATGGCACGAAACACCTGAGATCAAAATGAAGCGTTCAGGTTCTTCCCGTTCCACCACTGTGGAGGTGGTCTCAAGAGGAAAGCACGCTGGGGGAGCTGGGGGAACAGGGGTACCCCCTGAGCATCCGGCTGCAGACCAGGCTCTGCTGTAGCCAAAATGGCCATTAAGAGCCCTGGTTCTTGTCTTCCACCGCAGGGAACCGCTGAAAGGCCACTGAGAAGTGCTGCACGAATGAGCCCACGGGGGCCTCGGCAGCAGCGCTTTGTGCTCCCAGACAGCATGGCTGCTGGCTTGGCAACAGGAGCGGCCTCGAGGCCACAGGACACCTAGTCCTCCTGGTCTGCGGCCCCGCCAACAGCTCAGGTCACTGGGGCTCAGGGGGAACATACACAGGATCAGGCAGCACATCACGAAACCTCGCCCTCCACAGTAAGCAAGAAGTCAGGAATGCCAGTTCCGTCGGGCACAGCTGAGGGGCACTCAGCCAGGGGCTGGATTCAAGCGGCATGGAAGCGAGAAGGAAGGGGGTCCTGAGTTACTTGTTCACAGAGCGGCCCTGGGGGGCTGTTAAGAAGCAGCATCCGCAGAGCTGTAGGGGAAGAACTTGGTGACCTTGTTTGGGGTGGTGGGGTTTGCACACTCTGTCTCCTCGTTCATCTTGAAGAACATCTCCTGCTCGCGTTTTTTCTGGTTCAGATCTTCTTCCAGAGCCTAGGACAGAGGGCACATGGCACTCAGTCACATCAGTTAGGACACAAGTCTCCCCAACCACTGGACCACCAAAGTGGTCTTCTCTGGAAATTTCCACCGCACATCCCCCTCCAGCCCCCGGCTTCAGTGCTTAGGTAACTTGGTCTTCCCTCTTTCCTACTGCCTCAACCATGCAGGAGTTGCCTGTGGGCCAAGAGCTCTGCTTTGGGGAAATGCCAGTCTAGACAGGGCGCGAGGGAACAGCAGAAGTGAATCTGCTGGCAGGGAAGAGCCAGATGACTGGAGAAAAACCTGAGGTATTAATAGAAAATGGAGGAAGAGTTTTAACAACAGAGTTGTCTGGGCTACACAGTGTTCCTAACCAGAGTGCTGTCCTGCCAAGTCAGGGGGCTTTTCAAAATCTAAGTGCAGTCATGCCATGCCCTGAGATTCTGATTCTGAAACTCCGCTGTAGGACAGGGGTTCCTGACGTTGTAAAAGCGCACCATGTAACCCGAGGGGCGCATCCAGGCGACCAGCCCTGCAGGTGCCTCTTCCTTTGGACACACGCAAGTTTAACAAGATAAATGGTGTCCTATGCAAAAAATGTCTTGAAGAGTTCTCCAAAAATGAACATCCAATTAAGAAAGGAAGCATGGACACATATACACTAACATATGTAAAATAAAACAGACAGCCAGTGAGAATTTGCTGTGTGACTCAGGGAACTGAAACGGGCTCTGACAAGCTCGAGGGGTGGGGTGGGGAGGGAGGTGGGAGGAGGCCCCAGAGAGAGGGGACACATGTACACCTACGGCTGATCCATACTGACGTATAGCAGAAACCAACACAACGCTGCAATCATCCTTCCATTAAAAATTTAAAAAGCTCCTCTAAACTATCCGAGTATAACACTGGAATAATAATATGTAGTGAGAGATTATTTACAAATAAAGGAAATCATACCAGAAGACCAAAAAAAGAAAGAAAAGGAAGCAGAGTGCAGAGGGAAAAAGCAGGGGCGTCAAATGGGATTCAGCTCCATTAGCAGCTGGGTGGGCCTCTGCATGTCCCATTTCCTCCCCAGATCTGTTTCCTCTCGTGTAAAATGGCAACCTCACTGTCTTCCTGGCAGGGCTCTTGCAAAGATTAAATTAAAAACCAATGGGCTGGGATTTCCCTCATCGTCCCGTGGTTAGGACTTCTCCTTCCAATGGCGTGGCTGCGGGTCCAGTCCCTGGTTGGACTCGTACATAAGATCCTATGTGCCTTAAGGCCAAAAAACCAAAGCATAAAACAGAAGCAAAACTGTAACAAATTCAGTAAAGACTTTAAAAATGGTACATATTAAATATATATATATATATTTTAAAAAACTAATGGGCTGTAACTACTGAGTACTTCTTGCATATCACACACTATGCTAAGTGTATTACAGTTTATTTAATCTTCACTCTATGAGATAGATACTATTATCCCCATCTTATAGATGGAGAAACTGAGGCTCAGAGAGTTTAGGTCACTTGCCCAAGGTCATTCAGTTAGGTGGGGGCAGAAGCAAGATGGATCTAACTTTAGAGTTCAGGCTCTGAAACACTGTAAGTCAGGCACACACGGGTTACTCAGTAAATCTGGCTTCATTATTACTTGCTTTCATTATAGAAGTAACCATTCACAGGAATTGACCAGGATTCTGTCTCTCTTTTTAAAACTATTCTTTGATGCCCAGAAATAGTCTCAGCAAACTTACTCCCTTAAGCTCACATTCCTTCAACAGTACTAAACTCTAGTGAGTTCTATCTTTAAGGAAAGATGGGGAAAGAACACTGTCTTCCCAGCTCCAGCTGATGGCTGTCATGTGGTATGATGGGCCCTGGGTTGCTAGAACTCCTAAGTTTTCAAAAGAAACTGGAAACCCAGATTTTTATGTAAAATTTCCTTATACTTAAAAAGTTGGCAACTTAAAAAATTTTTTACATCGCTATCAGTTGGCCAAACCTCTCTGTAAGCCAGTTTCAGTCTGAAGATCATCAGCTACCACTTTTATTTTAGCACAGAAAGGTTTAGTAACTGCCTAGGGTCTCACAGCTAGTAATGGGGGAGCAAAGACTTTCTCCCATGTTTGTCTTACTTCAAAACTTATGCTCTTAAGCACTGTTCTGTTTTACCTCTATACAACCTATATGTCCTCTATATAACCTAGGGCAGTCAGCAATCTCTTTTCTGTGCAGGGCCAGACTGTAAATACTGCAGCTTTGCAAGCATACGGCCTCTGGTACGGCTGCGCGGCCGCTGCTGCAGTGTGAAAGCAGCCATGGACGACGCGTGAGTGAGTGAGCATCCTGTGCTCCAGGGAGACTGTTCACACACACAGGCGGGGGCCACGCTTGGCCCATGGGATAGGCCTTAAAACACCTGTGTTAAGGAGAAAAAGGTTATCTTCATCTCACAGCCCTAAAAAGCAAGGCTCGGAAAGGCTTGTCTGAGGCCATATTCTATGTTAACTATGACCCAAGCAACACTTTATTGAATTCACCAGACATTCTATACTTACTTAAAAAAATCTGAATTTTTCTAAAAATATTCCGCAAGGTACAGTCATCTCTCCTGGCTCCCCCAACATGGGCCACAGCTCAAAGCTGCTGATGGAAATCCAAGAGTATAAAATCATTTATTCTAGAATGAAAATCATCACCTCTGGATCAGTGTTCCACCAGCAACCCAGTAAATGGGAAAAAAAAAAAAAGGATAGAACGGGGAAAAAAAAAAGGATAGAATGAATCTGCAAAGAATTCAGGAAAAGAGGCAGCTACCACCAGCAAAATCCAACAGCAGCTCACCAAACACACACTTGGAATACCTCCCCCTAAGTCCAGGCACCCCCCTGAAGCAGTCTGGGCATTGATGCAGTTGCTGGAGGCAATGTGACCATTCACTTTCAAATTCTCTCAGGATGTGCAAAGCATACAGAACCACTGGGTAAGAGAACCAGGCAAACATTTACTTCTGATACCAGAGTGAACCTGTGTCAGCAGTATTATTGATTTGAGTGTCAAGTACCACAAGTCCCAGCAGACCACATGTGGTTACAAGTGTGGACCTTTTAATCGGAAGGTCTGGGACCTTGGCCAGCTTCCAGCCAGAAACCTCCATTAGCACAGGGAAGGAGGCCTCAACTCAAGGACTTTCAAGGCCACTCTGGAGCAGAGGTGGGCAGCCACCTCCTGGCCAGACCTCAGTTAGAGCAGGTAGAGCTGAAGATGCCCGCAGAACAGGACTCAGGGCTTAAGGAAACAGAATCAAGGACAGTTAGGGCAGCTTCATCCTCAGAGAGTTTAGAATGGAAGGAAATGAGTATGTCCCTGGCCTATACTGTGGCCTAGGGACTTTCCACATAACACTGTATGAGATTCACATCTTCACTTTACACATAACCACACTGAGGCCCTCTGTCAACCTGGCAAAGCCATGGTAACCAGCTGTTTGGTCAGACACCAGTCTAGATGGCATTGTGCAGGGATTTTTTAGATGTGATGAACATGTAACTCAGTAGACTCTNACACTGTATGAGATTCACATCTTCACTTTACACATAACCACACTGAGGCCCTCTGTCAACCTGGCAAAGCCATGGTAACCAGCTGTTTGGTCAGATACCAGTCTAGATGGCATTGTGCAGGGATTTTTTAGATGTGATGAACATGTAACTCAGTAGACTCTGCATAGAGCAGCTTACCTGCCATAATGGGAGTGCAGGCCTTAAGAGGCAAGCCTGAAGCCCCGCTGCAGAGAGGACCAGGCCTCTGGGCTGCCCTGTTCCCAGACTACAACATCGACTCTCGCCTGGCTCTGCAGTCTGCCCTGCAGGTTTCAGACTGAGCAGCCCCAACCATCGGGTGAGCCAGTCCTTAAAATAAACCCCCAAGTCTGTATCTAACCCATATCTGTATCTCCACCTGCATCCTGGGCCGACACCGATGGTACAGTGAAGCAGAGCCCATCATAGGCCCACCAGCCCAGACACGGTTACCTTTTTGCGCGGCCGGAGCTTGTCCCGCCATTCCTTCAGGTTCTGGTTGTGGCTTTCGTCCAGGGCCTTCAGCTTCTGGGTTTCGTGCTCTATCAGGAGGTGACACTTTTCATTCTGGAATATATTCCAGGCAGGACAGGTAAGACGCACAGAGGGCTGAGACATACATATCATGAGGCACCAGCATTGTTCACTTCTGTCTCCTCCTTGATTATAAACCCCATTATACAAAACTCTATGCACATGAATACAAATGCACCAAAAGGTGCCCAGAAGAATAGTCCAGAATATTAACATTAATAGATTTTATTGTGTAATAGGATCTGTAGCAGTTTTGCAGCTGCTTCTTCGTGCTTCCTGCATTGTTTGAATTTTTCAACATGAACATATATGTCGTTTTAACAAAACAGTAAAACCATTAACAATAAATATGTGCTCTAACTGCACCAACAGAGAGGCAACCACTACAGAATTTTAGATAGATTTCCTGTCAGGCTCTGTCCTGTGTGTGGTTCGGCTCACCCTGTGTATAAAATTCTGAAACCTGCCTCCCTCTTAACAGTATAATGTAAAAAGTCCTACAAAGAATTAACATTTTTTATAATCATGATGTTTAATTCCTACAGAGTATCTTACAGTATGGCTTTATCTAACTCAAACATTCCCCTATTTTTGGCCAGCTTGGGTTGCTTTTAATCTTCACTGTTATAAATAGCACTGTGTTAAACATCTGTGCTGTATACTGAATTATTTCTCCCTAAAATTCATTATGTTGAATCTGTAATGTCCAGTGTGATGGTATTTGGAGATACGGGGCCTTTGGGAGAGAAGGAGGTTTAGTGAGGTCAGGAGGACAGGGCCCTCGCGGTGGGTTAGTCAGGAAGAAACCAGAGAGCTCACATGCTAGAGTGCTCTGTCCCTGCCTCCTTCCCTCCTCCCCCCCTCCTGTCTCCCTCCTCATCTCTCCTGTCTCTGCCACGTGAGGACACAGCAAGAAGGCAGCCGCTCCCCCGGAACCCAGCCACGCTGGCAAAGCTGATCTCTGATTTCCAGGCTCCAAAACTGTAAGAAAATAAAGTCCTGTTGTTTAGGCCAGCCGGTCTCCGGTATTCTGTAATGGCAGCGTGGGATAAGATGATCCATGTATAAAAGTTTTGTGTCTATGTAAGTTATATGATTTTCTGTGTCACATTACCACCCCTTCAGGAGAGATCTGTGACAAGGAATAAGGGCCATGGACTCATGGCAAGCCTGAGGCTTGCCAACATCACTGCTGTCTCTCTGAGGCAAGTTATCTGTTTCACAAAACTGAACCTGGACTCTCCCACAGGGACAGTAGTGACAATTCCCTGTTGGTTCCTTGCAGAGAGTCAATCCTGCAGTTTATCATGTGTTTATAAAGTGCCTTTATCCAGACACCTCCACCCTACTGGACTGGAAGAGTAGGACTGCTTAGGGGATTTTTACCTGGGGTTTCAAGCTCAAGGGTTCTAGGAATTTAGAAACTGCCTTGGTTGGGAATAATACTCACAGCCACCCTGAGTACTTCTGGCCTGCCCAGAGCTGGATCCTAGCTCCCTACAGCTTCTCTCAGCTGATCCTCACAGTAACCCCATGAGGCAGGGGTGGGAACGTAAATACAGAAGGTGAGTGGGCTGGCTAAAATTCACACAGCAACAAGCAGCAGAGCCCCTGCCTGGCAGGCTGCAACACCTGCAGTGTTTCCTCCACAGCCCTCTGCCCTTCCAGAAATTGCCAGGTGGCTCTCGTAGCCTCGAGTTTCCTGAGGTCACAGATGCTTGTCAGTGCATCTTTCGGGTAGAGCAGTGCCTCGCTCCACCACAAGGGGGCTCCGAGTACCAACTCCTGGGCAAGGACCCTTAGGGTGAGGCAGACTTGACTGGGATTGGAGAGACTTGAAGGATCTCCCCAGGGAAGGGCTTGGCAATATCAGGATACCTTTTCCTGACTTTATGGGAAAGTTTTGAGCTTCTCACCATCACGGATAATGGTAGCTGTAGGTTTCTGTAGATACTTTTTATCAAGTTAAGGAAGTTCCCTTCTGCTCCTAGTTTACTGAATCTGTTTAATTAACGTAAGCAGGTGTCAGCCTCTGTCAAATGCTTTTTCTGTATCTACTGATGATATGATCATGTGATTTTCCTTCTTTAGCTTGCTGCGATTACATTAACTCATTTTTGTATACTGCAGTAACCCTGGGGTAAATCCCACCTGGTTATAGAATATACTTCTTTTTATGTATTTTTAAATTGTTTGCTAACATTTCATTGGGGATTTGTGCATCTATGCTCATGAGAGATACTGATCTGTAGTTTTCCTCCTTGTAATGTCTGGTTTTGGTACTAGTGTTATTAGGACACCTTTTCCAAAGATACAGTGATGACCAAGAAAGCCAGCAGCATGCCCACGGCCGGGTCCTGGGCACAGCACTCTTGGCTCAGCTCTGCCATCTCATTCACAAAGCCTCACTCCATTTCTACAAAATAGGAGTCGTCACCCTTGCCCCACGCCTATTTTATAAATGTGGAAACTGTGGCACGGGAGGGGGACATGATGTGACCAACATCACAGAGAACGGCAGGATGGAAACAGCTCCACCCAGAACTCCCATCTGTAGCGTCCCGAGACCCCCCAGAGAGCTGCGTGCCCCCGGGGAGACAGGGGCAAGCACTCGGGGCAGGGGGCGGTACCTGCAGCTGCTGCAGCTCACTCATGTTGCTCTCGCACTGGGCCACCATGTCCCGCATCTGGTTCTCATGTTTCTGCTGCTGCTGCAGCCGCTCTGCCTTCTGCCTCTTCTCTTCCTGCTGGGAGAACTGCAACCGAGAACAGGAGAGGTCCTTCCTCAGGGAGACGCCCCCTGAGGGACCAGTGTGTACACAGGCCCAGCGTCCTGCACCACTCAGGCAGGGCCCCCTGTCTGAAGTCCTCCCCCTGAGCTGAGACCAGCCCCTGCCTTCGAGGAGCCCACAGATTGGTGGGGACACTGAGACGTGCTCGGACAGTGTGTGGAGTAAGCAGGACTCACAGGAGTCCAGGGCCACCGCCTCCATGTGCCCGAGCCACCTGGGTGACTTGTGAGTGGGGCTCTAGGTAGATAAAAAGGGTAGAAGCAGCTGCAGGATAGAAACCCAGGAGTGTGAGAGGGCGCATGCATGGGAAAGCAACGCCAAGCCTCCTTCCTGTCCACCAGAGGGGGCTCAACATGAGGCTTCCATTCCACTCCTCTTTCCAAGGCTCTGCTGCATCTTATATTTCATATTCCCCTAAATGTGTAAGATTCGGGCCCCACCAAACCTGGATCTGGCCCTGCTCCAGGACACCCCAGGCCCTGACCTGCTTGATCTTCTCGCGCTGCTCAGCGGCGCTGCCCCCTCCGTTGATGTGGAGGCTCTTCTTGTACATGGCCATGCGCGTCTTGCCCTCACTTCTCTGAATCTTGGGCAGCCGCGCCTTCTCCTGCTGCTGCCGCACCTTCAGCTGCTCAATCATGCGCTGGTTGTAGCGCTGCATCTGCTCACACTCCTGAGAGGGACCCCCAGAGGGGACACGGTCAGCTGCCTCCCCACACACAGGCGTAGTCCGAGGTCAAGGCTGCCACACACCACTCAGGGGCCCAGGACCCACGTGGTTCAGGACGCTCAGAACAAGGCTCGTGTCATTTCTTTCTTAAATAACATTTTCTATTTTCAGTTTTAAAATTACCGTTAATAATGTTTTAGATACTTACCTTCTGAATGCCTTCTCACTTAACCAATTGGTAGTATGCTATCCTGAGCTATTATCTCAGAGCAAAATGTACATTAATGAGATGGTTCCTCATTATTGATGATAGGTATCAATTCATATTTTTTAAAGTCTTGATAAATTTGAATATTTCCTTCACCTAACACTTGTATTTCAAAACTTAGCACAGGCATCACTTCTCCCAAGAAGCCTCCCCTGACTTTCTGGCCAGGTAGGGCATGTTTATTCCAAACTGCCACAGCCTTGTGCTGACTTCCAACACTGTACTTAGATTAGGAGCTGTAATAACCCACACCAGATCTCAGTTTAACTGCTCTCTGTCCCCACTAAAGGAACTGAACCAAGACAATTACATAGAAGTAGAGAGTGCTCCAGCCACACAGAAGGGGCCCTCCTCTGGTCTGGGGAGGTTAGGGAAAGCTTCCTGGCAGAAGTGGTATTTAAAAAAAAGAAGTGGTATTTAAGTTGAGACTTAAAAGTATTTTGAAAGACTTCAGACAATAGTAGAAAGCTACAGTAATCAAAATAGTGTGGTACTGGGACATCTATGGCAGTCCAGTGGTTAGGACTCCTGAGATTTCACTGCCAAGGGCCCGATTTGATCCTTGGTCAGGAAACTAAGATACCACAGGCTGGGAGTTAAACAATAAAGTAAATAAAAAAATAAGTATCAAAAAAATAAAAAGAACAATGTGGTATTGGTACAAAAACAGATATATGGATCAATGGAACAGAATAGAGCCCAGAAATAAACCTACACACCTACAATCAATCTTCAACAATACAAATCAAAACTACAATGAGGTCAGAATAGCCTCACATTGGTCAGAATGGCCATCATTAAAATATCTACAAATAACAAATGTACTGTAGAGAACAGTCCTACACTGTTGGTGGGAATGTAAGTCGGTATAGCCACTATGGAGAACAGGATGGAAGTTCCTCAAAAAACTAAGAGCTACCCTATGATCCATCAATCCCACTCTTGGGGAGACAAAACTATAATTCAAAAAGATACATGCTCCCCTATGTTCATAGCAGCACTGTTCGTAATAGAGAAGACATGGAAACGACCTAAATGTCCATTGATAAGAGGAATGGATAAGGAAGATGTACACACATAGGCAATTAGGAATAGGAATATTACTTAGCCATAAAAAAGAACAAAGTAATGCCTTTTGCAGCAGCATGGATAGACCTAGAGATTACCGTAGTAAGTGAAGTGAGAGAAAGACATACCCTGTGATATCACTTACATGTGGAATCTAAAACAATGGCAGAAATTAACCTGCCTACAAAACAGAAACAAACTTACAGACACAGAGAACAGACTGGCTGCCAAGAGCAGGGGGTGGGGGTGGGGATGGAGAGGGATTGACTGGGGTTTGGGGGTTAGCAGATGCAAACTATTACATTTAGAATTTATAAACAACAAGGTCCTACTGTGCAGCACACAGATCTATATCCAATCTCCTGGGAGAAACCATATGGAAAAGACTATTTAAAAAAGACTGCCTGTGTATATGTGTGAGTCACTTTGCTCTACAGCAGAAATTAACACAACACTGTAAATCAATTATAATCAAAAAAAGTAAAAAGTATTCTGAGAGAATGCATGGGAAAGACAAAGTGGAAGTGGAAAGGAGGGCAGGACAAAAGAAAGGAAAAAGCGGGGGAAAGTGAGACATACACGTCAGGCGTCAGGGCCGGGGGTGCGGACGCCGCTGTGGCCCGCGCGGCCCCCTCAGAGCCGCGTGGGGTGCTCCCGGCCCTCCTGCCGCAGTGGCGGCTGTGCCCCACCCGGCCCCCTCAGAGACGCGTGGGGTGCTCCCGGCCCTCCCGCCGCAGTGGCGGCTGTGGAGCGCGGGCTGGGCCTCACCTTCTCATGCTTGCGCAGCAGCTCGTGCCGCTGGAGGAAGTACTGGTCTTTGAGCTGCTGCTTCACCAGCTGGTGCCTCTCCTGCAGGTGATGCTCCTCCATCTCCCACAGCGCCGCCTCCCGGTCTGCAGCGGACACAGCACCCAGTGACGCGCAGCCGGCCAGAGCCCCCAGGCCCTCCCCGCAGGTCTCAGCACCTCAGGGATGAGAGCTGCCCGCAGCAGGGTACAGCAGGTGGTGTTTGCAGTGTCAGGATGTCAGGAGACAGAGAAACCAGAGACCTAGGCTAGGACCCAGCCATATCACTAGGCTTTGGGATGGACAAAAAGTCTGCTTCAGGCCCCATCTTCCACCTCCACCAAATGGCATACCATGGAGGGAGAAACATCCTTGGAAGACACTGTTACATTCTGTCTGCACTGCACCTGTGCTTCCCAAGGGGAAGATGGGAAGGGCTCACGTGGAAACCCTATGAAGAAGGTGTGACAGCCTCTTGTCACTATGTCCTACTTTGAAAAATGGTTGGGGCCCTCCACATCCCATCTATGCGTTTTAGAATAGTACCATTTAGTGGCATTTTACCACTGGAAGTCCATTAGTACTACAGGGCAGGGAGCTGAGGTCAGATGGAGAACCTCACACCCTGCAAAACATAGCTGGTCCTGCTCAGCCCACTGTGAAAGTTCCATTTATTTTGCTTCCCTCCTATCCCATGAAAGCCAGCATCTACCCACAGGACATCGGAACAGTGATTTGGCTTCCAAACCAATCAGAACCACAGTCCCACAAGTAGGACGGTTCTTACAGACCATCACGTGATAAGGAAACAAGGGGAACAAACTTTTCCAAAACACCCGTGGCTCGGTTCAGAATGTCACATTACCAAGGACTCCATTTCGCCTCGTCCACGCTAAGTACTGAGGGGCGCATACCGTTTAAGTGCCCTGGCCATCGGAGTCCTGGCTGCAGTCCCCAGTGTAATAATGAGCCAGAAACAGCACCTGTGTATCAGTCCTGTGTTTACAGCTGTACGACAGACAGGGACTATTAGGTCCACAGCCCACAGGCACCAAAGTCCAATTTCCACTCAGCCAGCTGCTGTAAATGCAGTTCAGACAACAGACTTCTAGCCATTTGGAGCCTGCTTGCTTTCCATACCCCGTAAAACTGTAGCCAACATCTGCTGGCCATAAATAAGACGCCTGGGGGCTATATAAAGACCGCAAGCCCTGCATCCTCCAGAGCGCCCCACACAGAGCCTCCCCAGCGAGCTCCCCACGCTGAAGGCCATCACCCAGACACACGAGCTCCCCCCCTTGAGGCCCGTCTTCCCCAGGAGCCCCTCGCCCCCTCCCCCCGGGCGGCGACCCGCCCTGTTGTCTCTGGACAGTCTCGTGCTGGGAGGGGCCTGCCAGCACCAAACCTGCCCAAACCCCACCCCACCGGGGGACCTGAGAGCATGGCTGCGAGAGCAGGTCTGCATCCAGGCCCGCGCGGCCACTCGCGCGCGGGGCAACTCTGGCCAAAGCGCAGCGCTCTCCAAGCCTCGGTCTCCTCACCTCTAAGAACGGGCAAACGGCCGGGCCTGCCATGTGAACTTGAGGACACGACGTGATGCAGGCACAGGGGAAGGCACACGGCTTGGCAGAGGCGGCGCCCCACACGTGACGGCTGCTCTGAGGGGCTCTGATTCTGTCCCCACCTCGCCACCCCGCTGACCGGCTCACTGATTCATTACTACAGTTTCCACCCATTCTATGACGCTTCTGTTTCTCCTTCCTTCCTCAACACGCGCCAGCATGTTAAATCGTGTCATTGATAGTGGTATCCCTGCCTCAGTCTTGACCTCACTGGGGGCTTCCCTCCTGTTTCACCACGAGGCGGACGTCTGGTCTTAGGGTGGAGAAGACGCAGCGCCCGTCCCGCCCAGGGCTGGGATGCCCCTTCAGGCCCGACGCGCGCCCCGCTGGGGCACCCACCTCGAAGGAGCTCCTGCTTCCGCGTGAGGCACTCGCGCTCCTTGTCGCAGATCTCCCGCCTGTTGTCGGCCGTGATCCTCTTCATCGCCAGCTCCAGGTCCTCCTTCTGCTTGGCCACGAACTCCCGGTCCTGTGAAGGTCGAGTACTCAGAATTTTAGGTGTGAGAATTCCCTGGCGGTCCAGTGGCCAGGACGCCACTCCTCTCTGCCAAGGGCCAGGGTGCAATCCTGCTCAGGGAACTAAAATCCCACAGGACACATGGCACGGCCAAAAAAATTCTTCCATTACAAAAGTTATAAAATTTTAAGTGTGTTTTTGGTTTTGTTATTATTTTCTTAGAGATACATATTGAGGTACTTATAGGTGAAATGATATGAGGTCTGGGATTCAATTCAAAATAATACAGTAGAGTGGGGAAGTGAGTAGACAGGACTTGACAATTACTGAGATCAGGTGATATGTATATGGGGGTGGTGGTTGTTCAGCCGCACAGTCATATCCAACTCTTTACAGTTATTATATTATTATATCTATTTTTGCCTATGTTTTTAATTTTCCTTAATAAAGAGTAAAAGCTAAAATTTAAATTAAAATTTTTAGCTACTATATATGATGTAGATAACCAACAAGGACCCACTGTATAGCACAGAAAACAATACTCAATATTTTGTAATAACCTACAAGGGAAAAGAATCTGAAGTATATATACACACATATATATATATCTGAATCACTATGCTGTATACTTAAAACACAACACTGTATACTTCAATAAAAAATACTAAATTAAAAAATTTAAAACTTTAGGAAACATGTTAACAAACTAGAATTTGCACTAATGTTATCACTCATTGCTAGCAGCTGGTTCTGGTACATTTATATAAATGTATCTACATCTGTTGTTTCACAAAAATTACATTTAAAGACTTGAAGAAATATTTATACACCCATATTCATGGCCCTATTATTCACAACAGCCAGGGGATTGGAAACAACTCAAGTGTCCATAAACAGATAAATAGATAAACACAATGTGGTATATACATACAGTGAAATATTATTCAGGCTTTAAATGGCAGGAAATTCTTATACATGCTACAACATGGATGAACCTTGAGGACGTGGTAAGTGAAGTAAACCAGACACAAAAGGGTAAATAACGCACAATTCCACTTATATGAGGTCAAATTTGTAGAAACAGAAAGTAGAATGGTGGTCGTCAGGGACTGGAGGGAGGGTATCGTGGGGAGTTCTTGTTTAATGGGTACAGAGTTTCTGATGTGAAAGATAAAGAGTTCTGGAGAGGGACTGTGGTGATGGTAATGCACAATGATGTTAGTGTACTTAGAATCATTTAAACATGGGTAAGATATCAAATTTCATATTTGACCACAATTTAAAAAATTATTAAAAAGCCTTTCCATGTCATAATGTAACCTTCTATCAAAAATACATTTTAATGGCTGAATATATTTCATGGTATAACTGCACCCTAACTTATCAAGCCAATACATAACGGGTTGTGTATAGATTTTCTTTTAGATACTGCTGCTCTTCACATTCTGGGAGCTAAATGTCCTTGAGCCTCTGTGATGATTCATCTGTGAGATTAGCCCTAGAAGCAGAAAATGTAGGCCAAAAGATGGATTTTGGGGGCTCTTGATACATTTTTGAGGCTCTTGATGCAATTGCCAGAGTGGTTTCCAAGGGCCAATCTGCTCTCCCTCTCAGGGAAGGAGGGCCTGTCTCCCCACCACTCCCCAGCCCTGCATTCTTCCTCTAATCACAGCATCAAGGGACAGGTTGTAGGAAAGCAGGAGAGTCTGGAGTCAGATTCAGTTTGAGACCTCGGACCCCACGTTAACTGTGTGTTGTCGACTCTCTGAGCCCTAGTTTCTTCCTCTGTAAAGGGGAAAACAAACAGCACCTATCCTGGCAAGCCATGAACACTAAGATAGATAATATATTAATACAAATACATTTGTAATGGTAGACTCTAATTCTCTTTCATTTGGGGACAGAGGAAGAGGGAGAAGATGCGAGCGTGAAGTGACAAGAAGGCTGGTGAGGTTGGAGCAGAGGGGACTGTGTTCAGCTGGGAGAGGTGGACGGGAACCAGACCTACAGGGCCTTGAAAGCACATGGGAAGGCTGATCTGATCAGATGGGTCAAGTGAAAGTTTATCCATACGAAGGGCTTAAAGGGCTTTGGGGAGTGAAAGATAAAGAGTTCTGGAGAGGGACTGTGGTGATGGTAATGCACAATGATGTTAGTGTACTTAGAATCATTTAAACATGGGTAAGATATCAAATTTCATATTTGACCACAATTTAAAAAATTATTAAAAAGCCTTTCCATGTCATAATGTAACCTTCTATCAAAAATACATTTTAATGGCTGAATATATTTCATGGTATAACTGCACCCTAACTTATCAAACCAATACATAACAGGTTGTGTATAGATTTTCTTTTAGATACTGCTGCTCTTCACATTCTGGGAGCTAAATGTCCTTGAGCCTCTGTGATGATTCATCTGTGAGATTAGCCCTAGAAGCAGAAAATGTAGGCCAAAAGATGGATTTTGGGGGCTCTTGATACATTTTTGAGGCTCTTGATGCAATTGCCAGAGTGGTTTCCAAGGGCCAATCTGCTCTCCCTCTCAGGGAAGGAGGGCCTGTCTCCCCACCACTCCCCAGCCCTGCATTCTTCCTCTAATCACAGCATCAAGGGACAGGTTGTAGGAAAGCAGGAGAGTCTGGAGTCAGATTCAGTTTGAGACCTCGGACCCCACGTTAACTGTGTGTTGTCGACTCTCTGAGCCCTAGTTTCTTCCTCTGTAAAGGGGAAAACAAACAGCACCTATCCTGGCAAGCCATGAACACTAAAATAGATAATATATTAATACAAATACATTTGTAATGGTAGACTCTAATTCTCTTTCATTTGGGGACAGAGGAAGAGGGAGAAGATGCGAGCGTGAAGTGACAAGAAGGCTGGTGAGGTTGGAGCAGAGGGGACTGTGTTCAGCTGGGAGAGGTGGACGGGAACCAGACCTACAGGGCCTTGAAAGCACATGGGAAGGCTGATCTGATCAGATGGGTCAAGTGAAAGTTTATCCATACGAAGGGCTTAAAGGGCTTTGGGGAGAGGGTGTCATGATCAGATCTGGATCAGATTTGGAATTCATGTCGATCACACCAACTGGTGTGAGAGAAAGAGCTGCAAGAGCTTCAGGGAAATGAGCTGGGAGGTTACTGAATAGTCCAGGCAAAAGACGACAGGCTCGGGGGTCACAGAGATGCTGACAACTTGAGGGATCCAGAGAGAGTTTGGAGATTAAAAAAAAAAAAAAATCCAAACTCTGAGAAGTGACGAAGAATTGAGGGAAAAGAGGCACCAGGAATGACAAGGCCTCTGGTCTCACAAGACAATGGAGGGCAGTGACCCCTCGGAACGTGGGAACAGGATGAGGTCTGGGAGGTCGGGACTTGATGTCTTTGAGACTCCAAGTGGGCAGATGGATATACTGGGTTGGTCAAGGAGATGTGATGTACAAACAACCACAAAACAAGGCAAGAGGTGCTGAAGGCTTTGGGAGAGATGGAAATAAATGTCTGTGGTGTCTTGCAGAGATGGGAGAGCTCACTTCCAGCTGGAGTGAGGGCAATCCAGGAAGGCTGCATGGGAGAGGTGATAAAAGGGATAGCCAGGATAATCTGACTTAGATATTCAGAATGAGGGATACGGGGGTCTCCCACGTGGCTCAGTGGTTAAAAATCTGCCTGCCAAAGCTGGAGACTCAGGTTTGATCCCTGGGTTGGGAAGATCCCCGGAAAAGGAAATGGCAACCCACTCCAGTATTCTGGGAAATCCCATGAACAGAGGAGCCTGGTGGGCTACAGTCTGCGGGTTGCAGAAGAGTTGGACACGACTGAGCACAAGCGAGAACAGAGACAGGTGGATATTCAAGGGGCAGGGCATGGACACAGACGCAGAAGGGCGTGGGGCACCGCTCACGCTCTCTCCAACCCCCCGACTCCCCAGCTGAGGGACAAGGACTCACGAGAAGCTGCTTTTTCTGAGCGTGCTCCTCCATCTTCTGCTTCATGCTCTCTTTCCGCTGCTGCCTGGGGAGCTTCTCCACCTCATTCTTCACCTGCACCAGAAACAGCAGAGGATTGCTGGGTCAGGGCACCTCCTCACACGTCACACAAAACCACCCTGCAATCCCAGAGCTCCTGGGCCAGGGAGCCTGAAGACAAGGCCCAGCTTTCTAGGCACTAGCCCCCACCCTGCTCTCCACCCTGGTACAGAGGGCACCCCCTGGCCACCAGTCTCCAGTTTCCAGACTCCCCCAGAGCAGATAAGTGCCGTTTTTGCTCTTTGGTATCCATGCCCCTTCTTTTGATGATAGTATCTCAGTTTCATTTAGGGCAGTATTTCTCAGCCTCCTTTTAAACTGTTGTCCCCTCAGAAGCCCTTTTCAACATTTTTTCATAGTTACCCACCTCCATGAAATGTTAATCCCACAAATAACACTATCAATCTGTTAAACCATATAATATCTAAGATGTTTTTAATTCCTTGGGGGTGATATCACTCTGGCTGAGAATGCATGTTTTAAGTAGCTCCCACTCAGTGTCTGAGGGTCAGGTATAACTGATGCCTCAACCCCAACTGACCCCAGGCTAAGCATAAGATCGAGGCTGTCTGTAGTATATTCCATGCCTTGGCATCAGAGACTGGTTCAGAGATGAGCAAGCAGTCCTCACCAGGCTAGTGACAGCTTCAAGATGTTTGCTAAAATACCGGGGAAAACCACTCTCTGTCCTTTGGGGTTGCTGATCTGGGAGGATGTAGGTCATGGTGGGACACCTGAGACAGAATCAACTCAGAGAAGCAATGTTAAGAGATGAGGGAAGTGACATTTCTGGCTTCCTGGTCAGAGACTAACAGTATTCTTGAACCAGCCAGAAGTGGGTTTCTGTCTTTGATAACAGAAGAAAGGGAAGAGATTCATGACACTTCTCTGTAAGGAACCTAGATTTCCTCAGACACTTTCCTGTGAATAACTCATATCTTTACAGGTACCTGATATCTCAAAACACACACTCACTGACAGGTTCCTTAGGAGCAGTGACTGAGGGTAAAAATACTGTCTGTGATTTAAAAAAGAGCATTTCAGGAAGAGTTCTGCTTCTGACATAATGAGGTAAGTCAATACAACCTCTCTTTCCTGCTGAATACAATGAAAAAGTCTGGATAAAATACAAAAAGCAACTACCTGAGGACTCTGAAAAGTGAACAAAAGAAGGTGACTATGAAAGGGAGTCAAGACTTACAGAAGGGCTGGTATTGGGGGTGAGTTTCCTGGTTTCTCTTTTTCCCTTTGCTCTCCTAGCTTTGCCCCAATCCTGGACAGTGATGCTGTGAAAAAGTAGGTAAAACCCTAACAAACCTCATGTTTCTGGCCAGAGAACCAGGCAACGGTCGATAAGATTTACAAAACTTTAGCCGGATTGATGAAGGAGGAGGAGGAAGATGAGAGGGAAAAGGAGGCAGGAGAGAAAGAGGATACTACAACACAAACTACTATATGAAGAGGGGAAAGAGGAATCACCACAGATCCTACAGTCATTGAAAGGATACCAAGGGAACACCATGAACAGCTTTATGTCAATAAATTCAGCCCATTAGGTGAAAGGGACGAATTGCTTGAAAGAAAGTACCAAAGCACATTCAAGAAGAAACAAATAACTAAAACCAGAGCAACATTAAAAGAAAACCACAGGCCAATATCTTTTCAATGAATACAGATTCAAAAATCCTCACCAAAATAATAGCAAACTCAATCTAGTAATATATCAAAAGGAAAATACATAATGACCAAGTGGGCTTTATCCCAGGAATGTAAAGCTCATTCAATATGTGAGAATCAGTCAATATAATTCACAATATCAGTACACTAAAGAAGAAAAACTATATGATCATATCAATGTAGGAAAACTATTTGATAAAATTCAATGTCCATTCATGACAAAATCTATTAGCATATTAGAAGTAGAAGGGAACTTCCTTAATCTGAAAGACAGCATCTACAAAAACCCTAATCCTAACATCATACTTAACTATAAAATACTAAATGTTTTCCCCTTAAGACTGGGAACAAGGCAGATGTCCACTTTACTATTCCTATTTAACATCCCACTACTGGTCCTTGCCAGCATGATAAAGAAAGAAAAATAAACAAAAAATATATAGATTAAAAAGAGAAATATGATAAACAATAAGGTCCTGATGTACAGCACAGGGAACTACATTCAATACCCTGTGATAAACCATGATAGAAAAGAATATGGGCTTCCCTTGTGGCTTTGACCCCTGGGTTGGGAAGATCCCCTGGAGAAGGGAAAGGCTACCCACTCCAGTATTCTGGCCTGGAGAATTCCATGAAGTGTATAGTCCATGGAGTCGCAAAGAATATGAGAGAATATATATTTATGTATAACTGAGTCACTTTTCTGTACAGCAGAAATTAACACAACATGCTAAGTCAACTATACTTCAATAAAATTTTTTTAAATAAAATAAAATGGAAGAAATAAAACTGCAAAATTGTGGTCTATGCAGAAAAATCCCAAGTCTATTTTTTTTAAAAGTCCTAGAACTGATGAATTTAAGTGAGATCAATATACAGGGCTCAATATACTAATATTTTCCTATACGCTAGCTTTAGAAATTGACATTAAAAAATAGTATCTTGTACAACAGCACAAAAAAATGAACTAAATATAATTCTAACAAAATATATGCTGAATTTGTATGCTGAAAACTATAAAACACTAAGGAAGGATATTAAAGAAGACCTAAATGAATGGATAGATTATGTTCATAGAAAGGAAGGTTCAATATTGTTCTGATTCCATTCTCCCTAAATTGATACATGAATTCAACTCAATCAAAAATTCCATCAGATATTTTTACAGAAATCAATAAACTGATTCTAAGATATATATGGATGGGCAAAGGAACTAGAATAACCAAAATAATTTTGGAAAAAAGGAATAAAGTTGGAGGACTTACAGTACCTGATTTACTGTAAAAATATATTTATCAAGACATTGTAGAATTAGAGAAAGGTAAACAAATAGATCAATGGAACTACATATAGTCCAGTTATAGACACACAGTAATATATGGTCAATTGATTTTGCATAAAGATGCAAAGGCAGATCAATGGAGAAAGGATAGTCCTTTCAGCAAATGGTGCTAGAAAACTGGATATCCATAGGCAGAAACAACACTAATAACAGTGAATCTCACCCACACATTACACATCTAATGTAACACTTAAAAGTGTAAAACATCTGAAAGAAAGCATGACCTTGAGCTGTGCAAAGGTAGCTTAGATACGCCAGTAAACACACAATCTGTAAAAGAAAAAATGATAAAGTAGACTTCATCAGAGTTTGTACTTCTGCTTTATGCAAGACACTGCTAGAAGAACCAAAAGACAAGCCACAGATTGGGAACAAACATTTGCAAAATATGTAACTGACAAAGGACTGTGTCCAGAATGTAAAAAGAACTGTCAGAATTCAGTAATAAAAAAATAAAGAAATCACCCAGCTAAATAAATGAGCAAAAGATTTAAACAGGTACCTTGTCAAAAAAGATATATAGACAGCAAATAAGCACATGAAAAGATATTCAACACTAGTCATTAATGAAACACAAAAAGTCACAATGCAATATCACTTCCTATCAGAATGGCAAAAATAGAAAAAATCAAACTAATGATACCAAGCGCTGGTTATGATGTGGAGCAACTGGAACTCACGCATTGTTCTGGAGATGTGAAATAATACAGACTGTTTGGTAAAAGTCTGGCAGCCTCTCCTAAAGTTAAACGTACATTTAACATATAACCCCAAAACCCTACTAGCTATTGTTTATCGTCTCTTCTTTCAATTCTCCGGTGTTTTCTTTCATGGCTTTGGGTTAGTAATCCAAATCCTGCCCCTGTATTCTTTAGCTTTAACAGTCTGAGGTTAGGGTTTCTCAGCCTTGGTACTTTTGACTTTTGGAGCCAAATAATTCTTTGTTGTGGGGGCTTCCTATGCACTAAAGAATGTTAATAGCATCTCTGACCCTAGATGCTATAACACCTCCCCAGTCATGACAATCAGACATGTTTCTAGATATTGCCAAATGTTCTCGGGACGGGGGCAGCAGCGGGGAGGACATGGGCTGGGCAAAAAGAGTCCCTGGTTGAGAACCACTGTCACACTACTGTCTTAGACATCCTCATAAGATATCTCAAAAATTGCATTTGTGCCACTTCACTGTCAATATCCAAGGGCTCCCCTGGACATATAGTACATAATGATAATTCAGCACCTGCCTAGAGTTTGTCAAAATGCCACTGACAGCCCCATTCAAGGCAGAATACAACTGAAAAGACCCACTAGCTTAGAAGGGTGCTTTTCAAGCTTGATGAAGTAGTTTTCCAGGACAGATGAGAAGCAGCAGTTTAGAAAAGGGTCTGGAGGTTTATGCTAAAGGCACTGAACACTGTAAGAAGTGTTACACCACTGCCAATGGAGGGAGAAAGCAAAAGAACATTCAGAGTAGAGTCACATGGGGTTTTACTTGGCAAAGGGGCACTTGGACTTACTCGTAAGAAGCCCCTGAGGGTAGGGATGTACCAGCACCACTCTCAGGGCTATAAAGACAGGCTCTCTACTCAATGTTAGATATCCTGCTTTCTGATCCAACTGCCCATCTTTGGAAGAGTCCCTGGACTTGTTTCCCATTCTCTCATCAGAAAAAATTATCTGGCTATTAACAAATTTCCAGGGTCCTTCCAGGAGTATAATTCTGTGGTATGATAGAGATCCAAACTATTTAAGAAGTAGTTAAATTATGTTTAATGAGTTTTGCCTAGGAAGGCAAGGAAACAGAGTTCTGGAAAGATTTCCTTTAAGACTGAGTCTGTTTTCACATTTAGGGGATCTAAGAAGTAAGTTACAATCGTCAACTGAGTTTCTCACGGATATTAAATGTACTGTGTGTACGGGCAATGAGAAGCAGACCACCAGTTCCATCCTCACAAAATATATTTATTATATTTCTATGCACAGACATACACAGTGCTGGGTTTAATTACTTGAAACAACAATGAAGAATAAATATGTCCCCATTCAGCTAGCTTACTAACACTGATTTCTTCCTATATGCATACCTCCTAAGTGCAGGAGGGTCATTAGCATGATAAACATTTCATAATAACTGCTGTAACCACGACAGAGGCCCCAGGAGGCAGCTCAAGTTTTACCCTCTGTTATTTTTGTATGTTTTCTATGCCTGGCATCAAATCATGACCAGCTTTCTCACAATCAGTGGGTTGTAGGGAAATGGACAGGGTGAACCCTGCCTTGCTCTGAACTGGTTAAACAAAAGTCCACACTGGGACTTCTCTGGAGGTCCAGTGATAAAGAATCCACATGCCAATGCAGCGGATCCAGGTTTGTGAAGATAAGCTCGTGTGCCACAACTATGGAGCCGGTAGTCGAGAGCCCGTGAGCCACGGCCGCTGAGCCCACATGGCACCCCCGCAGAAGCCCATGCACCTGGACCCTGCGTCTGCGGCCAGAGCAGCCCCCACAAACACAGGCCCGGGCACCGCAGCAGAGAGCAGCCCCCACAAACACAGGCCCGGGCACCGCAGCAGACAGCAGCCCCCACAAACACAGGCCCGGGCACCGCAGCAGAGAGCAGCCTCCACCCGCGGCAACTGCAGAAAGCCCATGCGCAGCGACAAACACCCAGCATGGCCAGAAATAAAGGAAAGACAGACATCTTCTTTAGAAAGTCCACTCAGACCTGTGTGGTGCCCCTCGCCAGCATCCACGTGTGGGTTTCTCTGATGCAACACTGGGCTGGCTAATGCACCCACCGATATTTCAGAGTCTGCTCACCTGGGCGTCCCACCCATTCCCACTTTCATCCCTCACCCCTGCTGGTGCAGCCTCACCACCAATCCAAGGGCCATGGGCAGGCAGTCTCTACCCAAGCCTGCCATTCCTCCTGGGCTTCACCTGCATAGAGGTGAACTCTGCAGTCAAAAATGCCTTCTGCCTATGGAGTAGGCCATGGCAGGATATGGAATTCTGGGACACTCTGGGGGTGTTCCGTGAAGCAGAGCCTTTCACTGGTCCCACCAGCAGGAACCCTTAGCCGTAACACTGATAACGGTAAGCATGACCCGAGGGGCCACCGTGCAGTAAGTGCTTACGAGGTGCCTGGCGCCGGCCGGCATTGCCATTTAGTCTATATCTCGAACAGCTTCCCGAGCGATCCTGTCATCACCTGCTTTCCCTTCTAAAGCAGAGCTCTCCTTACCTTCTCTAGTTAACCAGCCTATCTGCTCTCACAGCAAGTATTACTATGTAGCAGGCAACGGTTTCACTTATTTAGTACTGTACTTTGTTTCTCTAGCTTCCCTGGAAATTAACAAACTCCTTGAGGGACCCTATCTATTTTGTTCATTAGTGTCCCTGGTACCCCATTCAATGCCGCACAGGTAGGCACTCAACACAACAGCACCTGAATAACTCTCACTGTGACAGAAGACAGCCAGAACTCAGGCAATAACTTGGGAATATCACTGGTTTGGTTCCAGACAACCACAATAAGGTGAAGACTGCAATGAAGCAAGTCCCGTGAATTTTCTGGTTTCTCAGTACATAGGAAAAGTTACATTTACAAGATATTGTAGTCTGTTAAGTGTGTAATAGCATGTCTTAAAAAACTGTATATAACATAAACATGTTTTATTGCTAAAAAACGCTAGTCATCATCTCAGCCTTCAGCGAACTGTAATCCTTCTGCAAAAATAACCACCACCAATCACCATGGCAAATGTAATGATAAAGTCTGAAATATGCAAGCATTACCAAAATGTGACACAGACAGGAAGTGAGCAAATGCTATTGGAAAAAATGGTACAGAAAGACTTGCTCGTGGCAGGGTTGCCACAAACCTTCAATTTGTACAAAGAAAACACAANCTCATGTGAAGAGTTGACTCATTGAAAAAGACCCTGATGCTGGGAAAGACTGAAGGCAGGAGGAGAAGGGGACGACATAGGATGAGATGGTTGGGTGGCATCACTGACTCAATGGACATGAGTTTGAGCAAACTCTGGGAAATGGCAAAGGGCAAGGAAGCCTGGTATGCTATAGTCCATGGGGTTGCAAAGAGTCGGACATGACTTAGTGACTAAACAACAACAAAAATGGAGGCACTCACCTCAGGCACAAAGGGGAATATATACCATTCTAGAAACTCAAAATTAATGCCAAAGAAACCATGAACAAAATAGCAAATACAGACAGGATCAAGTCCTATACTTGGAGGGTTCAGCCTCATTGCCTCAGACATTGCCCCTGGCTCTGTCGGATCCTGCCTTTATTTTAAATAGCTGATAATCTGTTCATAGGGATTTTTTTTTATTTTTGACCACGCCATGTGGCTTGTGGGATCTTAGTTCTCCAACCAGGGGTTGAACCTGGGCCCTCGGCAGTAAAAGTGCAGAGTCTCACCGCTGGACTTCCAGGGAGTAACCCATGATGAATATTTTACACTAATTTCTACTTTAAAACACTGCATCAGAATATTATTTATCTTGATTTAGGACTAGCCAAGCTGTGTCATCACAGCCAGTGGCCCTGACTCCCACAGGCAACCACTGGAGGCCTCCTGCATTCACCACATGTCATGTCCGACACAGTAAAGTCTGGGCCCTGGGCTCTGTGGGCCCCACAAAGCACCATGGGCCACCCCTAGAAGCTGCTCCTACCATTCCCACCTGGAGATCGGGAGCAGCCTGGATTGGCACCCCCTGCCCCAGGTCCTACCCTCCTCATTCCCATCCTTTCTCCTGAGGGCTCAGGAAAGAAAGTCTGGCCCAGCCTCCAAGTGTCTGGCTCCATGGGGGAGGCGTGGGCTGCTCTCTAGGACTCAGATGCCCTGCCCTGGGGCAGGCCTCCCTTCCCTTGTTTCAGGACCATTACCTCTTTGCCACTTCCCCTTCCAGCTGCTGGGGAAAGAGGGAGGAGAGGCACGTGGGTCCAAGTGAGGGAGCTACCCTTCTAGGAGAAGGGAGAGTCAGGCATGGAGGATGTGTGTGCACCCACCCAGCACTCAGCTCCCCGCCTGGTGACAGCATCTCAAGTTCCCCTAAGTCGCCATTCCTTCCCTCCTCCCTGCTCTCTTCCAGCTCAGGCTGCTAAGCTGGAGGGATGTCGAGTAAGTTGCCTGAGGCCACAAGACAAGGGCCTGCCCGGAGCCAAGTCCACACAGAGGAAGGCAGAGCCCAATATATGGAGAAGGGGCTCCTGAGGGCACAGCTGGAGGATGCAGATCCAGACATCCCTGGCATGCACTTCTCAGGTATGTAAGCTCCTCCAAATACCCTTTATTGCTGAGGTGAGGTTGAGCTGGGGTTTGGTCATTTGCAGCTGAGAGGGGCCTCATCCTCCCAGGATGCCCTGCTTCCGCCCAGCACGTATTCACCTCCTTCTTCATCAGCTTGAGCTGCTCCTGGAACTTGGCATAGTCCCGCTCTTGCTCCAGGCGAATCCGCTTGGCCTCCTCCCGGCGGCGCACCGCATGGTCTTGCTCCATCTTCTCTACTTGTTGCTTTTGCTGACGCTCCAGGTTCTCCAGCTCTATGTCAAAGAACTTCTTCTTGGCCTAGAAAGAGCAGAAAAGGAAAGTTAGGAAAGGCACCTGGGAGGGAGATGGGGAAAGCCCAGAGGCTGTGGTCACTCCTGGGCTTGAGTCCCAGCTCTGCTACCTCACTGTGTGACCTGAGACAAGTCACCTAACCTCTCTGAGTCAGTTTCCTCAGGTGCAAAAGAAAGACCAGACCATCTGCCTCGCAGCATTGTTGCATGGGGCTCAGGAAAGGTTACGTCCCCTTTCCTCCTGTGTGACTGAGAGGAGCACTGTGACCTGCATGAGATACTGCGTTTACAAGTCAGTGCCTAATGACATCAGGAAACCAGGGAACTGGGAAACTGTTGTGATTTACTCTCCATGGCCAATGATCCTCACTTGGTGACCTCTGCTTGAAGAAAATAAGGAGGCAAGAAGCCCTCTGGGGACCCATCTTTTCTCACTCACGTTGATTTCTTGTTCAAAACGCTTATGCATTTGCTCCAGCTGCAGCTCATGCTTGCTGCTCAGTTGCGTTTGATTCCGATGTTCTTCTTTCTGGAGCAGCCGAAGCTCCCGGAGTTCCTGGCGCCTGAAGGGTAGAAGGATGTGGACATTCCAGTCAGAAAGTATCCTCAATGATCACATAAGTCATAGCTAAGGACACGGAAGGCGGGGGCATGGTGAGGCATCACACGGTCAAGGACAGAGGCAGGACGAGAACTTAGAACTCACATTTTACTTGACAATGATTGACAGGCAACACATTAATAATCTTAGTATATAAAGAGTGCTTACAAATCAATAAGAAAAACAGGAATATCCTAATTTTAAAAAGTGACACAAAGCATGAACAGACATAAAACAAAAGACAAAAAGAAAATTTAAATCATCTATATGGATATGAAATTCAGATTAAAAAACAAATGCCATTTTCATTAAATAGGTAAGAATATAGAGGAAATTGATACTTTCCTATATTGCTGATATGTACAAATTGACACATTTCTGGAGGACAATTTGTCAGTAGGGTATGCTTCTGACATAGTTCCACATCTGGATAGTGATTCTAAAGAGACATTCATAGATATACAGCAAAACTGAATAAGGATATTCACTCACTCCAATATTCTTGCCAGGAAAATCCCATGGACAGAGGAGCCTGGCAGGCTATAGTCCATGGGGTCACAAGAGCCAGACACAACAGTGACTAAACCACCACCCACCACCATTCATAACAATGCTATTTATAATAGTACAAAATTGGAAACAACTTATATGTCTGTCAATATAGATCTAATTAAATGTCTACCTAATTTTATTCAACCATTAAAAATGAATTTCTAGAAGGTATCAAATTACATGGGGAAAAAAATCTATGAAAAATGCAGCAATTCTTTATAAACAGATAGGGACTGATCTCTAAATGAAAAAAGCAAGCTATTAAAGAGTCGGTCTATTATGCTACTGACCATCTGGTTGAAAAACAAGAAGGACCATATATGTGTGTGCACATGGGCCTGTGCCAAGTTTACTTTCCTATTTAAACACTGAGTGTTTCTGGAAGGATCACACTGTAAAATATTAACACAAAGAAGGGAGCCGGGTGGCTGGCAGAAAAGTGACTGAGGGAGATGTTTCACTGGTCACCCTCTTTTACTTTTTGAGTCTTGAACCAGGATATTATACTACCTATTCAAAATGTAAATACAATAAAAATTTGACCCAGACCACACAGTGTACCCTAACTTCGGAACATATTTATTGTCAGCGTGTGCATGAGTGACACGCAGAACAATACTGGTGGCATGCACGCACACTCAGTCGCGTCTGACCTTTTGCATCCCATGGACTACAGCCCACCAGGCTCCTCTCTCCATGGGATTTTCCCAGCAAGAAAACTGGAGTGCGTTGCCACTTCCTCCTCCAGGGGATCTTCCTGACCCAGGGATTGAACCTGAGTCTCCTGCGCTTCCTTCATTGGCAGGCAGACTCTTTACTACTGAGTCACCTGGCAAGCCCACTGGTGGGATAAAGCCCACCTACCAGGCTTCTTTCTGAGCAAGTCCATTAAAAATTGGTGTGTATCTTTTATATAATCAGAAAAGAAATTAAAATGATGGCAGAAGACTCGGGCCTCCTGGCAGGGAACGGGGATGGCTTGGCAGCCTGTGCTCTGCTCTAGCCCAGCATCTGCAGGCTGCACCGTGGCCACCCCCACCGCGGGCCCGCCTCACGGCTCCGAGCGGGCAGAGCTCCCCAGGAACTGCCCACCGGCAGCTGCAGGCTGCACCGTGGCCACCCCCACCGCGGGCCCGCCTCGCGGCTCCGAGCGGGCCGAGCTCCCCAGGAACTGCCCGGCGGCAGCTGCAGGAGGGGAGCCCTCCCGCTCCCAGGGGTCAGAGGGGCCTTGTGTGCGTCTTAGCTCAGCTCCCTCTCCAGCCAGATGCCCTCAGGCAGTGGCGCAGGCTCCGCAGGCTCTTTCCCCGCTGCATCTGTAAAATGGGGAGATAATCTCTTCCTCACAGGTTCTTTAAGGTTAAATGCGGCGATACCTGCAGTGCCTGTCTGACACATGGCAACCACTCCCCAAGTGGTAACTTCGCGAATGGTAACGAGGAAGAAGAGGCAAAGGCCACCCAGTCTCTGGGAAAAGCCAGAGACACTTTTTACAGCTGTGTAGGGAAGCGTCTCTGGGAGCATCTGCATTTCGGGAAGAGAGGAGACAGGAGGCGGTTTCTGAGAGCGTAAACAAAGACATGGAAATCCTGACACAAGAGGAACTAAGGCTCAGAGAGCAACTGACAAAAAACAAGCAGAGTAAGGTAAGCAGCCAGCTTCTGACATGACCTCCTGACCCACCGGAGTTCTCACAAGGGAAAGGCAGGCCGAGACAGGCTCAAGAAGGAAAGAATCAGCTCCAGGAACTTCAGGGAAAACCAGAAAGAACTCTGACCCAGCAGCTGCAACCTGCATGAGTGACTATTCGGTGATCCTGTTCCAAAGCCTACACAGGACCCAAGCCTCTGGAAGTGCTAGAACCCAGGTTCAACCAGGGACGCGGCAGAGTCTGACAGGCCGCAGCCCGGCCGGACTCACGGGGCCTTCAGACCACAGCAGGCAAACAAGAAAAGTCTCCTTCGTTGCAAGCACCTCTTCTCCACCTCGGCAAAACTCACCTTTGAAAGCTGGGCAGCACCTGCTCCTCTGCTGAGGAGGGAGGTAGGGGTCCCGCCTCAGGGTCACTTTCAGATGGGGTGCGGTGGAGCTGGAATTTCAACCCCAGGAACCCGAACTGCCCAGAGGGGAGAGGACAGGAAGGAAATCCAGCCCCTGAGCGTGGAAGCCCGAGCAGTGACCATGAGAACAGAAGGCGGTGTTTTCAGCAGACAGCAACCACGACCACCCCTCCCCTAGCCCCGAGCCTCCCCAGCACACACAGAGGAGGCCACCTGATGCAAACAGCCGACTTATTGGAAAAAACTGATGCTGCGAGAGATTGAAGGCAAAAAGAGGAGGGGGTGGCAGAGGATGAGATGATTACATGGCATCACTGACTCAATAGACATGAATTTGAGCAAACTCCAAGAGATAGTGAAAGACAGGGAAGCCTGGCATGCTGCAGTCCATGGGGTCGCAAAGAGTTGGACACGACGGAGCGACTGAACAAGAAGTAACCTCACCAGTGAAAAGTCTGCCCGTCATCCCCCTGGCTTCGAGAGGGGAGACGTGCCCCTAGGTATCCAAAACTCCTCCTCTTTGGCTTCGGAATGTCTGTGCTTTTCTAAGATAAGAATGTGTTTGATGTTTCAGAGGTGTCCTCCAAGCCAGTCATGAATTGTTCCAGCAAAGCCCTGGCCTCAAGGCAGCTTCGTGGCTCTGGGGCCTCCCTCTCTAGCTGCTAAGCCCCCACCTCCATCCCCGGGAAGCCCCCCAGAAAGCTTCCTGGTCCAGTGGAAGCTGGTAGACTTCTCACAGACAGATCTTCTCACTGGGTGACCTGAGGCAAGTAAGTTCCCACCAAGAAACGCTGTTTCCTCATCTACAGAACAGCTGAAGTAGGGTCTCCCTGGGGAGGGCTGTCAGGGCCGCCTGAGTGCCTTAAGATTGCAGAGATGACTCGGTGCAAACAGCTCTGCCTCACACCCTCCTGCCCACACCAACCCCTGCCATCTTCAGCTTTGCCTCCAGAATGCATGCTGAACCCAACCTGTCCCGCCACACCTGCCCTCTGTCTGGCCACTGTCCCGGCCAGGGTCTCCCTGGATCCCTGCTTCAGTCCTGCCCCTGCTATAGCCCAGACTCGGATGACAGCAGGGCTGGCTTTTAAAAGGGACATCACAGCTGGTCACTCTCCAGATGCTTCATTCCAGTTGTTTTTGTTGTTGTTGAATCGCTAAGTCGTGTCTGACTCTTTACAACCCCATGGACTGCAGCACACCAGGCTTCCCTGTCCTTAACCATTTTCTGGAGTTTGCTCAAACTCGTCCATTGAGTCGGTGATGCCATCCAACCATCTTATCTTCTATTGCCCCTTCTCCTCTTGCCCTCAATCTTTCCCAGCATCAGGATCTTTTCCAATGAGTCGGCTCTTCACATCAGGTGGCCAAAGTATTGGCACTTCAGCATCAGTCCCTCCACTGGGGATGAAATCTACGTTTCCCCACCCCTGCCCGTGGACTGATGTGACCTGGACCCTGTGGGCCCTGGGAACGACTCCGCATCCTCTCCCTCCAACTCCACACTCCAGCTCCGCCCTCTCAGGTCCCTGAACAAGCCTTGGCTTTGCAGTTCCTGCCACGCTCTCCCAGCTCTGCCACTGGCCAGCTCCTCTGAACCCTCTGCTCTGCTCAGGGATTTCCCGCCAGGCAAGGCCCCCCACCCCTAGCCCAGTGGCCACTCTCCCATCAGCCATTATTCCCTTCACAGCATGTACCATGGTTGGGAATTATCTTGAATGCTGTTTGCTGGCCCATGAAGGTTCTACCCTAGCCACAGCCTCCATTATCTGGGTCATCTGTGTGTCCCCCAACCTGGGGAGGGGGTGTGGATACGTCAGTGAACGGACGGCTGGCTAGCTGGAGGGGAGGCTGGAGGAATGCGTGGACAGAGAGCTGAGTGGGTGACTAGAAGGATGGGCTATAGGATAGAGGAATGGGTGTGTGGATGGACGGATGAATGAGTGGGTACAGGGGTGGGCTGATGAGTGGACACGTAAGTGGAGGGGGAGGGAAGTGGATGAAGAGGTGGGTGAGTATATGGAGGAGCGAAGTGAGTTAGGGAATACAGGGTCTCAGGCAAAGCCAGATTCTTTTAGTGTCCCTGATTCCACACTTAATGCTGTAGACAGACAGACAGCTTTTTTTTTGGCAGCGTAGCAGGTGAGATCTTAGTTCCCTGACCAGGGATTGAATCTGTGCCCCCTACAGTTGGAGCACAGAAACCAAAACACTGGACTGCCAGGGAAGTCTCAGACAGACAGATCTTGCACCAGAAAGACCCACATCTACCATCTCATCCCTGCCCTGTTACAGGCATCAGCAGCCCCTCCCAGCCTCACCTGAGGAATCGCATCTCCTCATCTTTCTTCTCATCCTCGCTGATGATCTTGGAGGTGGTAATGCTCACCTCCACGCCGTCCACCACAAACTTGCGTGTCCTCTTCAGGGTCTTATTGTGTAGCCGTGAGTCCTGGCCAGAGAAGATCATTAGGCAAAGCTCAGTATTACAGCCACGAATCCATGCGTGGCCCAGTCTCAGCCCCGACCAGGAAGGAGGTGACTGTCCATGGTCCCCCACTTGCCTCAAGCTTCTCAACCTGGAAGCCTGAGTCTGTGAGGTTAGGCCCCCTCCTCTCCCTGACCTCACCCTTCGGACACTGCCCAGCCCCTGCCTGCTGACTGCCGGCACCCTCTCACACACAGGTCGCAGCATCCAAGCGAACTGGGTTCCAACTCTCCTTCTACATCTACTGGCCCTGTGACCCTGGGCAAGCCCCTTGTCCTGCCCAAGCCTCAACCTGTCAGAGGAGAGCAGTGCTTGCCTCCCAGGCTTGTTCTGAAGATGCAATGAATCAGGGGCAGATGGAATTCAATAGCACTTGGGTCATGAGAAGGGTTCAACACTTAGTATTTATTTCTGACAGTTACTATTGCAGACCACTCTTCTTTTATCTTCAATGCCAAAATCCAAGGAGCCTGGAAAATCAGAGTTCAGAACTATGTTGCAACCAAACCTAACCTGACCTGAACTCCACAGAAGGCCACACCCCTCTGGAGCCACCATGAAATTACTTATATCTTTGTCTTTACCTTTTCCTATGAATAATTATGCCCCTCACCTGTGATCGCATACACAGTACTGCCAGATGGACAAGCCCCTTGTCCTGCCCAAGCCTCAACCTGTCAGAGGAGAGCAGTGCTTGCCTCCCAGGCTTGTTCTGAAGATGCAATGAATCAGGGGCGGATGGAATTCAATAGCACTTGGGTCATGAGAAGGGTTCAACACTTGGTATTTATTTCTGACAGTTACTATTGCAGACCACTCTTCTCTTATCTTCAATGCCAAAATCCAAGGAGCCTGGAAAATCAGAGTTCATAACTATGTTGGCAGCCAAACCTAACCTGACCTGAACTCCACAAAAGGCCACACCCCCCTGGAGCCACCATGAAATTACTTATATCTTTGTCTTTACCTTTTCCTATGAATAATTATGCCCCTCACCTGTGATCGCATACACAGTACTGCCAGAACTCCCGGAGGCATTTAAATACTCTTTGAACGTTCTCCATCCTGACTGGGATGAGCCTGTGGATCTGCACTGGAGTCTTCACGGCATCTCCTTCTCCAACTCCTCCCCTAGCTTCCGAGGCCCCTCCTGGTGGAGCCCAGCCTGGCCTTTCTAGCATCTCCCTACGGCAGCCCCTCCTGCGCACCAGGACTCAGGATGAGTCAGACTAGCAACCAGGAACAGGCTAGCCGGAGATGGCGAGGGAGAAAGGCCTGGGGTCCCGGTCACAGGGCCCTGCAAGGGGGTAACAGACGCCCCGTGAAGCCAAGGGCGCTGACGCAGCCAGGCGCTCTTATCAGAGCAGCTGTGTTCCCTGACTCACTGCCAGCTCACCAGTAAAGGGATGCTCTCAACACCCTCGAGGAGAGGCGAGATGGATCAGACTTTAAAAAAAAAAATTATCATTTTTTCCTAACCCTTAGTGTCTTTTCAAGAAGGGAAGGGACAGAAACCCTGTCCTAAGGGCCCCAATGCTTCTTACACCTAAAAGCTGCTGCCCTCTCTGCTCGCCCTGTTCTATTTGTCTGATTTTCTCACTTTAAAAAATTGGCTGTTAGTTTTGTGCTTGTTTTTAATGTACTAGCTTTAAATGTAATATGATCTAATCTATTCAATTTTTTGGTGTGATTTCTCTCCCCCAATCCACCCCACCCCCCAAAAAGAAAAAAGAAATGCACTTTCTTTCTGTTCCCAAAGCTTACTGCAACAGTTGGGTGCTTCTCCTTTTTCCTTCTTTCATTTGGCCAATATTTTTGAGTCGGCGCTGTGTGGTTTTCAAACAAAAGGTTGCAAAACATTTCCTAAATTCAGCCTTAGTTGAGGGGGAGGTTCTTGGGGTGGCCAATCAGGTGACCAAAGGTGAGTTCATGAACATCTCATGATTTGCGGGAGCGGGCTGGGGAAGGTCAGGCCTTCCTGAGGACAAAGAGGCCACAGTGCCCACCATCAGGACGCCATGACACGCAGGATTCAGAGTGCAGAGTCTGGGGTCTGACCAGCTCCCCACCTCCCACCTGAGCCTCTGTTTGCGAGGCTGGACTCGGCGATATGGTTCCTTTGAAGCACTCTGCAGCGCAGGCCTCACGCTGAGCTCTCAAGCGCAAGTGGCTAGGGTCACTCACAGTGCCGCTCCCCCTCAGAACAGCCACGAGCCCACTCCCTTTCGCTGAATCCATCAGCAAATGGACCGCACAGCTGATCCACAAGTCAGAGAGCTTTCACTTCTAGAATTCTCTCTCCCTAACTTGACCAAGCCTTTAACCAAACCCAATTTAAACAGAACCCCAAACTGAAATTAAAACCCAAACCTACTGCCTGACACGACTTAACCCCAGACTGAACTCAAGATATTTGGAGGATTAAACAGTGACTCAAACAAAGAGCTTCTAAGAAAGAGAAATCTCATGAACCACTTAAAATGCAAGGCAGCCACCGGACACTCTCACAACCCAACACTGAGGAGCAACCCTTGTGCAGAACACCTGCCCCGAGCCCGCGCACAAGAGGTGTGGCTACCTTGATGGACAGAGAGCCTGACTCCTTGTTCACGGACATGTCTGCTGACAGGGAGGTGCCGAAGTCCGTGCTCCCGGAGGTGGAGATGCTGCCACAATCCGAGTCCCTCTTGGCAAGGCTCCGCGCCCCTGGGGCAGGGAGCTCCAGACTGCCATTGGTCAGCTCGCCGCCCAAGGTCTCCAGGGCGCTGCTGTTGGGACGGCTCTGGCTGGCTTTCTGGGACCTGCTGGCCGCTGGACTGAGGTCTCCACTCTGGTCAGCAGCTGGCTGCTCCTCGGACACCTGAATTCTGGCTCCCATGGACACCGGTCGGAACTTCCGAAGGGGCACGGGCACCGCCGGGCCATTCTCATTTCCAGGGGCCACATCCGGGGGGCTGGTGGGGAGGGCCCCGTCCCCAGCGGGTTCGCTGGGCCCATTCACACCGTCCTGAGGCTGGCTGGGAGGTGGCGTGGTAAAAGGTGATTCTTTGAGAAGTTTGTCCACATCAAGGCTCAGCTGACTCACCTCGGAGGAGTCTCGAGTGTGGTTCCCCAGAGGCTAGGAAAAAAACAGACAGTCAAGGCCATGGTCCTATGTGTCTGAGGCAAGAGTCAGAGACGCAGTGAGTCTGGACAGTCAGATACCCACAAGGTTTGGAAGAAGGCCAGGGAGGCCTCATAGGCACCCCGCTAGTGAGCCACAGGCCTCCCCACTCCCTGCTGCCCAACCAACAATAAAATTACCACTTGCTTTCAGGAACAGGTATTCCTCCTAGGAGTGGAGGCAACCGCGGCCAGCTAGACTGCTCGAGCCCTGTCTAAAGGCGGCAGCAGCTACTATGCTCTAGTCAATCATGACAGCCTGAGAAAAATAGGTCCCCTAAGCCCAGACCTTCAGCTTTTCAAGACAAGCTGGAACCTGGAGTTTCACAATGCCATCTCCCAATTTTTAGATGGCAACTAATTCAGATTTTTTAAAAGTCACAGAAAGGCCAAGCCAAACTGATCCAGAGGCTAGATTTCAGTCTATTAACCACTATGTTTTCCGTTTTGTTTTTGTTTTTTAGAGCTTTTGGGGGGTAAAAGTCCTGAAAGTGTTGCTATTGTGAAACAGAACAAGGATTTCTGTGGATCAAACATAAACATTCCTCTTAATGAATAAAGTGAGCACCCACATAGCCACCTTCCAGGTCAAGAGTGGGACACATCCCAGCCCTGGGACCCTCCCCTTGTCCAGGAGGGTCTCCCTGTGTCCAGCCTCCCCTTGACATTGTCCTGACCTTTATCTCTAAGTGTTATAGGTTAGTTACAGGATTCACCCACCAGCTCCAGTTCCTCCCAGGAATGAATTACACTTGAGGAAGTGCTATATCATCCTTCCCCAACAGACAGGTCTGGACAAGCCTTGCACAGGTCCACACCACCATCTGGAGAGTAAGTCTCACCTCCTGGNACCTTTATCTCTAAGTGTTATAGGTTAGTTACAGGATTCACCCACCAGCTCCAGTTCCTCCCAGGAATGAATTACACTTGAGGAAGTGCTATATCGTCCTTCCCCAACAGACAGGTCTGGACAAGCCTCGCACAGGTCCACACCACCATCTGGAGAGTAAGTCTCACCTCCTGGGGGAAGCTGTCCCCAAATGACTAGATCACAGATCCAAAAGTGGTAGTTCAGGACAGAATCCAGCCCACAGATGTGTTTGGTTTGGCTCAAATGTTTTGTAAAATTTAAATTAGCTTTAAGGCTCTCTGGTGGCTCAGAGGGCAAAGTATCTGCTGGCAGTGCAGGAGACTCAATTTCAGGCCCTAGGTTGGGAAGATCCCCTGGAGGAGGGCATGGCAACCCACTCCAGTATCCTTGCCTGGAGAACCCCCATGGACAGAGAAGCCTGGTGGGCTACAGTCCATAGCATTGCAAAGAGTCGGACATGACTGAATGGCTAACACAAACGTTTTATAGAAGTTTAAACTGCTTCAATTTAAATTTACACTCAGCCAAGAGCTGACGCTGCAGATGGGTTACAAGGGTGCCAAGCCATGGGTCCCCTGGGCACTCGCGATGGCCAGACGGGGTCTGGGGTGCTCGGAGCCCCTCAGCCTGTTGCCTCTGATCACGGGCAGTCTTTCCGTGCATTGAGCCCACCATGTGCTACAGACATCCTCATTCTGTATGTGAGTCACAACGGGGAGCAGGCTGGGAGCAAAAGGAGTCAACTACCAACTTTTAAAAACTGGAAGATCCCACAGAGAAGTCTGATCCCTGAAAGTTACAGAATCTGGCCAACACACCCTGCTGCCTCATCCCGGCCCTTGTGCTGTCTTACATAACCGGTGGCGTGGGAGCCTGTGACCTCTGAGCTGGGAAAGAACAGAAAGGAAGCTCTCCTGCGCCTCCTGGGTGCCCTTCCGCCCCAGCTGAGGCTGCAGGGACCCCACCCCTCCCCCGTGCTCCCCAGCACCCCTGATCTCCTTACAGAGGCAGCCTCCGCCGCATCTTCCTCATCCCCCTCATCTCGGCCATCTTCAATCTCCTCCATGACTTCAGCCTTGGCCTCGGCCACCAGCTCCCGCAGGGCCTTGTTGCTGGTGACGCTGCTGACGAAGGGATGCTGAGAGGGGCAAGACAGCTGGGTGAGAATCACAGTGGGCGAGGGCAGGGGTGGTGAAGAGGGGCAGCCAAGGCCGGGGGAGGCGATCCCCCAGGCAGAGAAGGCTGGCAGCAGCCCTCAGGGAAATGGGACCTTGAACTCGGTCAGGCAGACCCAGAGGCAGCTCAGAAAGTCCTGCGTGTGGTGAGGGAGGGCAAACGCCATCTCTGCTGCTCACCAGCTGTGTGACGGTGAGCAGGTCCCTTTCCCCCTCTGAGCTGCGGGCTCCTCACCTCTGCACGGAGAAAATTATACCAAACCCACAGGGATGAGGGTGGAATGACAGCAAGTGCAGACAGGAGCTTAGCCCAAAGTGGGAGCAACAAATAATGCTTCAGGAGGGTTACTTGTGTATTTGTTTGTTTATTTTTTATTTTTATTTTCTTGGCCATGCCATGTGGCTTGTGGGATTTCAGTTCCCTGACTTGGGATTAACCTGGGCCCTCAGCAGTGAACGCATGGAATCTTAACCACTGGACCACAGGGCATTTCCTGTTAATTTACTTCTTAAAAAGATTTTAAAGATGTAGTTTTAAAAATATTGGCTTCCCTGGTGGCTCAGTCAGTAAAGAATTGCCTGCAATGCAGGAGACTGCCTGCAATGCAAGAAACCCAGTATAATATCAAGTATGTACATACATAGTATAATATATAAAATGTAGTACGTACCTACAGTATAAAATATAGTATGTACATACATATACACACATATACTTTATTGAGGAATTACACACAGAAAAGTTCACAAATCATTAAACTCAGTGACTTTTTCCATATATACAGACTCAGTATAACCACCACCCAGCTCAAGACACAGAGTATTTCCATCACTTCAGGAAGGTCCCCGTCGCCCTTGCAGTCAAACCCATTGCCCTCAGCTGTCCAGCTCCAGAGAGCAGTTTTGATTGTTATTTAACTCCATCTGAACAGAAGCCCAAAATATGCAGTCTTTTGTGTTGGCTTTCTTCACTCAATACAACTAAGCTGAGACTGAGATCCCCCTACCTTGTTGCATGTCAGTAAACTGTTCCTTTTTTAACTTTTTAAAAACTTATTTTTACTTATTTTTTAAAATTTTGTGGCCACACCACGTGGTATGCAGGACCTTAGTTCTCCAACCAGGGATCAAACTCATGCCCCCTGCAATGGAAGCAAGGATTCTTAACCACTGGAATGACTTCCAGGGAAGTCGAACTGTTCCTTTTTGATTACCGTGCAGTATTCTTATCACGTGACAATGGCACAGCTGTTTATTCTTTCTGCGGCTGATGGACACTTATGTTTTAATAAAGCTGCTATGAAAATGCTTGTATAGGTTTTGGGTGTTTGCAAAATCTTGAGGCCAAGTAGTATAGGTTGTATTCTGAGACACTTACAGAAATGTCACATCTCTAAAAAGTGAAAGCTATTTCATGGTCCTTGGAATACACCCAAGCTTTTAAGGCCTCAATAGATGGTAAACGAGCTCGCAGATCTGCCCTGCATCAGGGTGTGGAAAGGGGTGTGGGATTCCTCAATTCCCCACACTCACCCAGGGCCGCTTAGAAAGGCACACTGGCTCCTGGTGGTCCCTAGCTAAGCCTCCACGCTCCCAAAGCAGGGGGCCAGGTTCGACCCCCCGTCAGGGAACTAGGTTCCGCATAACACAACTAAAGGCCCGGCACAGCCAAACAAATAATTTTTTTTTTTAAAAAAGAAAGGCATGTTACGGGTGGTCATTAAATTAGAATTTTCTCATTTGAAATTTGCAGGAAGGTTCCAATGAAATTCGGTGTTTTTACTGTCAGAAAATTTATCAGTGGAGGAACAGTGTGAACAGGATTGCAGGGTAGTATATAAATGACTAAAGAGAATAAATTGTCTAGCACCTTGAAAACACATTCACAGCAGATAGGTCCACTGAAGATCATTCTTATCTGCTTATTCATTCTTATCTGTTTAGTTCATTTGTGAAAGGCCAGAAGCAATACCTGTTCACCTGGGCACCTGAGCCTGCACACCAGAAAGCAATGCAGCTCACCCCTGTTAGAGAGCTATCATTCAGACCGCCCTAAACCAGCTGGGCTTCCTCTAGTCAGTACCAACTAAGAAAGGCATGAAAGACTGCATTTCTCATCCTTCTCTCCCACTCCCCTCTTCATTTGTCGATTCACCCCTCAGTCCCGTGTTGAGGCCAGCAACATGCCAGGTGCTGAAATAAGGCCAAGCAAGCAGACAGGCAAGGCCCCCGGCCTCGGGAAGGACGATGGGCATGCTACCAAATGACAAGAACACTTCTCAGATCAGGTGAGAGGACAGCACGAGGCTGGAGGAACACGGGCCGGGGGTGCTGGAGGGGGCAGGAGTTTGCTTAGGTCAGAGGGGCCTCTTTGGGAGGGGACACTCAAGTTGAGACCTGAGGGGACATAAAGGGGCAGACCAGGGCAAGACCTGGGCACAGAGAATTCCAGGCAGGAGCACAAGCAAGTACAAAGGCTGCAGCGAAGCAGCGCTATAAACTGGGGCCCTTCAGAGCCGCCACTCCGGCAGCCAAGGGGCCCTGAAAGGTCTTGAACTGGATGTTAATAAGAACGTACTAACTGTGGGAAGCAGGCGAGTACAGCAGTGAGCACTGCAGGCTCTACACTTGAGACCAGGCTGCCTGGGCTAAAATCCCACTTCCAACAACTCAGACAAGTCACTCAACCTCTCTGAGCCTTAGTTTGCTCATCCGTACCCAATAGTACGGATGTTCTAAGCATTGTAGTGAGAGGTCAAAATATGGCTCAAAAAATCATCTGCATAATCATCACCATTACCATTATCCTCATCACCACCATCTTCATCACCACCATCAGCACCATCACCATCATCATAACCACTATCACCATCATCACCACCACCAGCATCACTACTAACACCACTATCATCATCACCACCACAACCATCACCATCATCACTACCATCGTCATCACCATCGCCACCACCATCATAACCACCACAACCACCACCACCACAACCATCATCACCACCACCATCACCACCATCATAACCACTATCACCATCACAACCACCACCAGCATCACTACTAACACCACTGTCATCATCACCACCATCACCATCCCTACCACCATTATTATCATCACCGTCATCAGAAGAACCACAATCAGAGAAGCCTGTCTGCACTCCCAGCCACTCCCATTCCCTCCTGCATCCCCATAGAGCACATGTGTTTTAGAACTGAGAATGAGAATCAGATCCCAAATGTTCCCAAGCTTCACATTGCACAACCTCACACATGTGAACTTGAGAAGAAGCCACGGGACACTTCACTGCAGTGGCTGAAGCAGATGCGGCAGAAACAAATAATGCCGACACAAGCTTCTGGGAATACCAGGTTTTCATCAAGCCACATCACATATTGACCAAATTAGTGGTTCTTCAGCTTGGCCAGAAGCTGTGCTTTCTTGAGGCTGAACATCTGCTCCATGGCCTCCCCTGAGTACCCCGGGGTCTTTAGGAAGTGGAGGGGGGACCGTGGGAAAGAAGGCTTCTGAGGAGGGGCAGGTGAGCAGGGCCACTCCCCTGGACCCCAAGCTCCTGGAGTCCCCGGGCAAGCAAGACTGGCAGGCGGAGGAGCAGGCCCTCCTGTCAGATGAGGCCCAGAAGACTGTTCCGTAAACTGCCCTGGACACAGGGCACAGATACCTCCCCCACTGACTCAGCTGTTACCTCCGGGATGTATTTAAAAGGATGTTCCAACTGCCAAGGCCCACGAGAGACAAAGTGCAGCCCAAGAAGGCATGGGACCTCCCCTGGCAGCCAGCACACTGCGCGCCACCTGGGGACAGGCTCATCTGGGCACAGGGTCCCTGGGAAGGCCCTCAGGTGCCCCCGAGAGAGACCCGGATCAGACAAGCCCCAGCAGCCTGCTCCTACGGGACGAGGCCCACTGTTTCATGCTGTCTCTGAGGCGAGCTCCATGATGCCACAGAGCTTACCGACTGGCAGCCAGCGTCCAGCCAGGACTCTCCTGCCATCTCCAGTCAACCTTCCAAGAAGCTGAGCCCAGTTTTCCTCCGTGTACTTAAAAGTCATCAGCCGGGAACTTCCCTGGTGCAGGGGTTAAGACTCTGCCTTCAATGTAGGCAGCAGGGGTTAGATGCCTGGTCAGGGAACTAAGATCTCATATGCCACACAGTGTGACCAAATAAAAAAAGAAAATTAAAACAAAAAAAGAAACTGCCAGCCGGGGTATCCCATACCCCAGGACTAGCTTTAAGAAATGCCCAGTAATACGTCCAAGGTTTCAGATGTCAGTATTATTCCTTCATTCTCCTTCCCTCACCTCCTAACTTTCTTCCTTCTCTTCTCTCTCTCCTTCACTCATTCAGAGAGGCAGCTTACTAGAGTGGTCAGATGAACAGGTTTTGGAACCAGATGACCAGAAAGCAGCCCTGTCACTCACATGCTGTGTGACCTTGGGCAGGCGACTTGACCTGTCTGTGTCTCAGTTTCTCTGTCATCTGTTTGACAGAGATCCAACCAATATCTACTTCACAGAGCCGTTATGAAGATTAAATCAGCTAACATTTGTTAAACATTTAGAATCAAACCTGGCGTGGGAAAAAGGTTATGTAACAGTTTACTAAGTAAAAATAAATATATTTTAGCAAATATTTGGTCGAAGGCCCACTCCATATCAGGCACTGTTCTGGATGACCGGGGCATACTGGTGAAAAAAAAAAAAAAGCTGCTGTCTCCAGGGAGCTGACACGCTAGTCAGGGTGACCAACAATAAACTTGATAAACGAGTTATACACTCTAAGTGGTATGTGCCCCGGAAAAACTAAAAGTGGTGCAAGAAGACTTCCCTGGTGGTCCAGTGATGGAGAATCTGCCTTCCAATGCAGCAGACACGGGTTCAATTCCTGGTTGGGGAACTAAGACCCCACGTGCCTCAACTAAGACCCAATGCAGCCAAAAAAAAAAAAAAGTAGGGCATAGGAAGGAGAATTAGGAACGTGGGGGGTGCGGGTGGTTTGCAGTTTTAAATAGAACACTTGGGGGAGGCCTCACGGAGAAGCTGCCACGTGAGCAATGACTTGAAGAAGGGAAAGAGTCAGCCACGGAGGTGTCTAGGGAAGGGCAGCCCAGGCACAGCGGACAGCCAGTGCCAAGGCCCTGAGGCAGGAGGGTGCCCGAGTGTCAGCAAGGAGGCTGGCTGGCTGCGGAAGAGTGAGAGGGTGAGAGAGAGATGAGAGGGATCCAGGCGAGACGGGCAGCCTTGCTGGACCCTGCAGGTCACTGAGACTCTGGACTTTATCCTGAGTAAGATGCAAGCCTCAAGGGGCTTGGACTCAGGAGGTATCGGAGCTGACTATGTTTTTCCCTCGGCTACAGTGGAGGTGGTGAGAAGTGGCTGGATTCTGGGCATGCTCAGAAGGCAGGGATGATGGGACTCCTTGGTAGAATGAATACAGAGTATGTAAGAAAGACAGGGTAATCCCTCTGAGAAGATGACTGCAAGGTTTGGGGCCTGACTGCTGGCAAGGTGGGGCTGCTGTCAACCGGGATGGGAAAAGCATTGCCAGAGCATATTTGAGGAAAGATCAGTGGTGGACTTGTTAAGTTTGAGATGCCTGTGGACACCTAAGGCAGGTAGAGAATACTAAGGCGGGTGGAGGGTAAACAATTGGACACAAGGGTTTGGGGTTGGGCAGGGCAGTCTGGGCTGCAGGCAGAAATGCAGGAGCAGTGGCAAACTAGGCGAGCCCATCGAGATGACGGAGATGGAGGAAAAGGCCCCGGCAAACCTCATGTGAATCAGCTGGAGAACGAGGAACAGGCAAAGGAGACGGGCTAGTGACCAGTGAGAAGGAAGGAAACCAAGAGGGCACGGAGACCTGACGACAGGTACTAACAAGGAAGATGAGAGTCACCTGCAACTGCTGCTGGGTCCAGCAAAACCAGCCCTGAGGCCAGAGCTGACCATGACGTCCAGAGGTGCCAACAACCTTGAAAAGAACGCTGGGCTACAGTGGAGCAGGTTGAAGAGCAAATTCGACAAGTGTATACTGTGTACCAAGGATGCTCCAGACGTCAGGGGTTTACAGACCTGCATCCATGCACACACTTCTGTGATGTGAGCATGACCCACCTCTTGCAAAGGAGGAAACTGAGGCTCAGGGTGAGGACCACTCAGATTCCTGGCGGGTGAGCCTGATTTCAGAGCCTGGGGTACCACCAAGTGATAACGGTCCCAACTAACATCCAGGAAAGCAAATGAATGGACTACAAGCCAGCAGGGGCATACGTCAGTTGGCTGAAGGCAGGATGTGGGGAAACATGAGGGCCAGGAGGAACCAGCAGTGAGGCAAGGGCTGAGGCGGGGGCGCGACCAACTCAGGAGGGGGCGCTGGCAGGTTGAGATCTGGGCTCACGTCTGGCCACTCAAAGCCAGGTGACCTCGGTGGGCCAGCTCCGTTCCCTGAGCCTTGGGACCTCACCTCCGGGGGTAACAATGCCCCACCCTCCCTAGCTCAAGAGATAAACAGGCAAATGGAGAAAGCTGATGGCAGCCGAAGCTCTGTAAGGAGCTTTATTTGTGCAGAGGGATCTCTCTTTTCTTCTGCAACCCTTCTGTCTTAGCAAAGAGTCCTCTGGCAGGAAGGTTTTTTCCCCAAGTATGGAAAGGAAATTCTGGCCCAGGCTGACGTTCCCGGTCTGCCACAGGGGACGAGAGACAGCTGGCCTCTTCCTGGCAGTGTCCTGGAGGCCGGATGTACAAGGCCAGGAGGCGAGTGCTCACAGGAAACAATCGGCCCAAGGAGCCCGGAGCCCGCCCCCGCCCCCACCTCTGGCCGGCCCAGACCGTCCCTGCCCAACGCCTCCCCACCCAGCACGTGAGGCCTCTGTCACTCCAGCCGTGTGACTGCAAACACAGGGCAGAAACCGACAAGAACAATCATGACCCTGAGCAGATAACCCCAACCTGCATCCCTGTTCCTTTCCACTTTTAAACAATTTAATTCAAGGCATCAAACAGTCAGGGCACAGCATGGCACAGTTTAGCTAAGCACTTTCCAGTATCTTCCACTTAACCCTCACAATGACCCTGTAAGGGGAGGGGGGCTGACTATTATCCCCCCTTGAGAGTGGGAACAGGGTCACGGCGGGGTGAAGCCCCTCAAGCAGGGTCCCACAGCCAGGAAGCAGCAGAGCTGTGATCTGAATGCAGGCCTTCCCACCCCCAGTCCGCACACTTCACCACTGTGCACACAGTCCAGAGGGAGGCCCGGAGTGCCAGCCCAGCCCCAGTGCCTGGCCCACAGGACGTCCACACCAGGAAAAAGCGGCTGAATGTGGAGAGAGCCTCCAGGGCGCGGTGGGGCGCTGGCCCCTCTCCTCCCACCGCAGTCAGAGGTGGCCACAGACAGTGGATGGTGGGGTGGAGGGCCAGCCCCTGCCCGTCCCCAGGCCCACCTCCTCTCCCTCTCCAGCAGTGTTGGTGCCCCAGGGACGGTGACCAGGCGACCCGGAGACGGCTGGGCGAGTGGTGTGTGCAGGTTTTCAAACATAGCTGCCAAGGCTCCAACACTCACCCCGCCGGCTGTGGACACCAGGGCCCGAGGCATTGGCTCTGGACAAGGGTGGCTCACAGCTGCCTCCAATATTTCAAACAGCTTCAAGGAAGCCACCATCCACTTCCCCACCCAAAGGCCATTCAGCCAGCTAAGGGGATGCTCCCTGAGTCACCTGTCACCCTGGCTGGTCTCCCAGATGCCACATCCAACAGCCAGAGAAACCTTTGTAAGGGTAAGTCAGACAGTGTTTCCCTCCAAACCCTCACAGATGCCCTGTTTCAAACAGGGTGAAGTCCACGTCCTCCCAAGGTCCAATGTGACCCTCCGTGACCTGGTCCCCTCTCCTTTGGAAGGCTGCTCCCACCATCAGCCCTTTCCTGAGAGCCTGGATGTGGAGCGGGTTCTCACCGTGAACTGATAAGAGGGGCTGACTCGGCCTGCACTGTGCAAATGATGGGGTCCATGCTGACCACCTGCCCAGCCTTCTGCAGCCTGGAACTCTGGTCCAGGCCAGCAGAGGCTGCCCACGTGGTCGGCTCCCAGTGAAACCCTAGGCCCCGAGTTCTCCAGCATGCTTCCCAGGTAAACAACACTTCACATGTGTCGCCAGAGCATACAGCTGGGGAACTTGGTGCGTCCTCTGTGACTGCACTGGGAGGGGACTCTGGGCACTTCTGCCTGGATTTCCCCATGCACCTTTCTCTCTGCGTCCTTTTGCTATAAGGGTCACGGTGGAGAAACTGACTAGATGTTTCATACCCAGAGTCCTCTTAGGGAACCGCTGAGCCTGGGAGTGGACACACCCCATACAGCTCCGACCTTGTCTCCAGCCCACCCACCTCCCACAGCCCTGTGCTCACCCCAGCTCCTGCACCTGGGCTCCAGGCTCTCCCAGCTGCTCCCATCGTGTCCCCATCCCAGGCCTCCACCTGCACTCTCAAGCACCACGTGTGGCCTCCCTCGCCTCCTCTGGGTGTCGGCCCACAGAGCCCCTCGCACCCTCCTTTTACAGGAGGGCAGCCCTTCCCCCGTGCTGCCCATCGGCCGCCTGTCCCCCCAGAAGGTTAGCTCCATCCGGACAGGGTCCTGGTCTCCCTTCACCCTCCTTGCGCGAGGGTTGGTAGGTAGCAGTTGCTCAGGGCACACTGGCTGATGACTGAACGGCTGTGCACGACGCCCCCTGGGCTGGGGGAGGACGAATCCAGCTTACAGGTCAAGGTGGGCAGCCACCTGGGAGGGGGGACCACTCACCTCCAGGAGCTGCGCAGCGCTGGGCCGTGTCTCTGGGTTCTTATCCAGAGCCGTCTTCAGGAAATCTCGGAACTCTGCCGACCTGGGAGGACAGACAGGTGGGGGCAGGGAGCTGAGGGCGGGAAAGAGCCGAGAAGACTCCCCGCATCAGGGACTCCACTCTTCTGAGTCGTGTGCTTTCCAAACACGCCCCTCAAAGGACAAAGGGCGCCTTTATAAGCGAGCCAGCGGAGGCGACCTCAGGACGCCCTTCTGGTCACTGATAGAGGGGATGCAGAATCAAAGAGGGGGCTTGCCCGAGGCCACACAGCGGAACACAGCCATGCTGGGGGTTTGAGCCCCAGCTCCCAGCCCAGGGCTGTGCCGTGTGGCTGCAAAGGCTCTTATTCCTGCAGTGGGATCCGGCTCATTTGGGTTCCGCAGTCTGCCTGGACGGAGAGCTCATGCTCAGAGCAGACAGGGAGGAAGGAGCTCTGAGGGCCCAGGGAGCTCAGAAAAGGCCTACCGACCCCCAGGCCTGACTGCTCCCCGACGGTGGGGCCAAGCGGGGACAGCAGAGCCCTGGCCCCCCACCTGCCCCGCCACCCAGGGCCACTGGCCGCCCTGCACACACCCCAGGCCGGCCTCCTGGCTCCTTACCACTTAGAGGGCGAGAGCAGCGTGGGAGGGTCGGACTTGGCGATCTTGAGCAGGACCCGCATGGGGTTGAGCTCGTGGTGCGGGGGCTCGATCTGGGCCATCTCAATCAGCGTGATGCCCAGCGACCAGATGTCGGCCTTGTAGTCATACGGGGTGTCCTTCATGGTCTCGCACATCACCACTTCGGGGGCCATCCTGAACCGACCAGGGGACAACAGAGCGCTAAGACCCTGGCCTCCTCAGGCACTTCCCGGAGGCTCAGGGTCAAGGACCGGCGCGAGCGCTCCCAGGTCCTGATGAGCCTTCCTTCCCACCCACTATCTTCCTTAGGACGGTTTTCTCACAAAGGACGCCTTCCAAGCAGCTTCACAGCCCAGTCCTGCTGCAGCTCCGACTCCTACCAGAAGAGGGCAGCAGCAATCCAGAACACAGGGTCCTGGGGAAGGGGCGGAGAGAGAGAGAGAGAGTGATAAGCAAGCAAAAAAGGAACCTAACTATGATGGAAAGGAAGTAAAACAGAAAGTAGTTAGGTGTGAAACAGAGAGGTTTTTTCTTTTTGGAAAAAAAGGAAGCAAAATGGACTGGAAGAGTTTAGGGAGATTTCATATAAGCATAGGAACTGAACTCGTACTGTTCATCTTCCTGGCCCCACCCCCAACTCTGGGTCTGCCTGTCAATCTACTCTTGTTGAATTCATCAAGAACCATTCTCCAGGGAATGTCAGTTCTTATTGGTGGAGCACTTTCTATATGCACCATCCCATTTAATCCTCACAATACCACATTACATAGGCACTATTATCCCCCTGACTTCACAGATTGAGGAAACTGAGGCGCAAAAAGCTGGGTAATATGGCCAAGGTCTCAGCGCTACTAAGTGGGGGCGTGTGGGCTCAGACCCAGCAGGCTGACTCAGGAGCCCCTGCCTGTCCCCCCTCCAGCCCAGCCAGGGGTCACCAAGGGGACACGAAGTGTGACGGGCAATCCACCATCCCATTTCCAGAGGCTACACGACTCACCAGTAAGGCGTTCCTATGAAGGAATCTCGCTTCTGCAGAGTTTTCAGATTCTTGGCAGACACACCGAAGTCAGCTGCAAGGCAAGAATCTCAGATAGAGGACTGGATGGACATTCCTCCACCCACGGCCCTGGGGTGTGGACTCAGAGATTCGCGTTCCAAATCAACTAACAGATGCCATTTTCTGTCCAGCAAATTAGTGATCATTAAAAAATAGTAACACCCACTGCTGTAAGAATGTATAGAGGTATGCACCTTCCTACTTGCTAATAAGAATATAAATTGAAGAGGCTCTTAGGAAAGCAGTTTGGCAATAAATAGCAAGAACATCTAAAATACCCATACTTGGGACATCCCCAGTGGGCCTGTGGTTAAGACTTTGAGCTCCCAATGCAGGGCGCATGGGTTTGATCCCTGGTTGGAGAATTAAGATCCCACATGCTGCACGGAGCAGACTAAAAAATAAATAAAATAAGACATCCATACTCTTCTGGTGCAGCAATCCAAATCTAGGAGTCTACCTTAATGAAACAATCTTCTTTCTTCTTTTTGGTAGCACCTTGCAGCTTGTGGGATCTTAGTTCCCCAACCAGGGATTGAACCCAGGCCCTCAGCAACGAAAGCGGAGTCCTAACCACTGGACCACCAGGGAATTTCCTGAAATAATCTTAAATATAAAAACATTATGGGCAATGATTGTTCACCAAAATGCCATTATAACAGAGACAAAAACAAGCACCATTGCTTAGCTTTCACAGAGTGATTTTAAAAATTCTTATGTGCAGTATATATTCCCTTTTCTAAAAAAGATTTAAGATTATGTATCATATATACAAATGTACACAAAAAGAAAGATGAACTAGGATGTGAAGAGCTAAAACAATAGAAAAGACTCCGATGCTGGGCAAGATTGAAGGCAGGAGGAGAAAGGGATGGCAGAGGACAAGATGGTTGGATGGCATCACCGACTCAATGGACATGAGTTTGAGCAAGCTCTGGGAGATGGTGAAGGACAGGGAAGCCTGGCATGCTGCAGTCCATGGGGTCACAGAGAGTCAGACACAACTGAGCAACTGAACAACAACAATAAGAAAGAAGTATGTTAGTTGCTCAGTCATGTCCGACTTGTTGGCGACCCCATGGACTATATTTCCACCAGGCTCCTCTGTCCATGGAATTCTCCAGGCAAGAACACTGGAGTGGGTAGCATTCCCTTCTCCAGGCAATCTTCCCAACCCAGGGATCAAACCCAGGTCTCCTGCACTGCAGGCAGATTCTTCACCATCTGAGCCACCAGGAAAACCAAGAAAGAAGGTAAAGACTAAATAACTGGACAGATTTAGTGTGATACACACACATATGGTGGAATATTTTATAGTCATTAAAGCTTTAAAATATTTTATTCAATATTTCAGTAATGAATTATACATAATATTCAACTTTAATAGATATTTAACAATGATAATAGATGAGGGAGACTAAGAGGTACAAACTTCCAGTTACAAAATTAATGAGCCACAGGAATGAAATGTACAGTGTAGGGAATATAGTCAATAATAATGTAATATCTTTGTGTGGCAATAGATGGTCTTATAGCGGTGATCATTTTATAATGTGTAGAAAAATCAGCTTACTACATTTTACACCAGGAATCAATATAGTGTTGTCAACAAACAAACTCACAGAAAAAGAGATCGGATCTATGGGGGCTTGGGGGAAGGAGAATTAGATGAAATTAGGTACAAAAGGTACAAACTTGCAATAATAAGATAAATAAGTACTAGGAATGTACTTAAATATGCTTAAATATAATTAAGCACAGTAAACATATATAAATAAATATAACATTACTATATGTTATATATGAAAGTTGTTAACAGAGTAAATCCTAAGAGTTCTCATCACAAGGAAAAAATTGTTTCTTTTATTTTGTAACTACACAAATGGATATTCACTAAATTTATGATGATAATCATTTCATGGTGTATGTAAGTCCAATAGTTATGATGTAATCTTCAACTGACATAGTGCTGAATGTCAATTATATCTGAATAAAAATGTAGGGGAAAATAAATTAAAATTTTAAAACACCATGTGTGCTAAATTGGTTCAATAGTGTCCAACTCTGTGTGACTCTATGGACTAACCCACCAGGCTCCCCTGTCCATGGGATTCTCCAGGCAAGAATACTGGAGTGGGTTGCCATGCCCTTCTCTAGGGAATCTTCCCGACCCAGGGATCAAACCCACATTTCTTATGTCTCCTGCATAGGCAGGCAGGTTCTTTACCACCAGTGCCATCTGGGAAGTCTAAAACAACAAATATTGAAAGAATACGAAAATATTTTCTTGGTATATTTACATAGGCTCAACAGGAAAGGGAGAGGATGCATACCTGAATATATCTGTATGGTTGGAATTATGCCCTATCTCCCCAAAAAAGAGAAAAAATACAGTTTGAATTATTGGAGGAAATGTACTAGCTTGCTTAAATGGTTGTCCATGGGCAGAGAGATGAGGTTTCTTCCACTTTGCTGAATTTCTGAAGTTTACCATGACAAAAGCATTCGACTTTCAGGACTAACAAAATAAATTAATACAGTTTCTCTTTACAAACATCCATCACCACCATGCACTGCTAAGGGAAGAAGCCAGCACCACAAAAAGGCATTTTCTGCAGTGCCCCAGCCTTCCAGTGCCACGTTTCCCCTTGATCATAAGCTGAACTCAGGAGGAAGCAGCGTGCCAAGAGACCCGCTGAAGCTGTAACAGCCGCCCTGAGCGCTGCCACCCAGGTCTGGAAACCACACTCCGAGCTTCACTCAGACTCACAACTTCAACCCAGGCGCGGGCGCAGCGCTGAGCACGCTGGGTTCCAGGCTCGCCCCTTGTATGGCACTGGGTTCTTTCATCTATTCATTTAAGCCCCATCTGGAACCACCACGAGCTGGAGCAGAGGATACAGTGGGGGAAAAAGCAGACCAAGTCCGTGCCCTCTGGCAACTCCAAGTTCAGTGGCAGAGGCAGCCAGCAATCCCATAAACACCAACTATGTCTGTTCACAAACGTGTGACGTGATGGGATGATGGGGGCCGGGCTCGAGAGACAAGGAAGGGAGGACCTGGAGGAAGTCCAGCTAAGGAAAAAACCAGAAGATTATTTGGTGTGGCCATCTGACATGCTTATGCGTCCTACAAAAAGCTAGGTATCCTAGCAGTGGTGTAAGGAGAAGTTACATCTCACTGCTGATGTATGTGTGCTCTGGTATGCAGATGTTATTTCATTGTCACAGCACTACAGTGAAATACACTGTAGTATTTACATAAAATAAAATAAAAACATATATTCATAAAAAAATTTTTTTTTCCATTTCCAGGCAATTCATTCATTCAACAAATACTAACTGAACATCTATTATGTGCCAGGCATTATTCTAGGCACAAAGAGGAAACCTTCACCCTCATGGCCTGTTTTTCTAGTGGTGGAAACAGGCCCTCCACACCACGGGACTCCTGGAGATAAGAAGGGCCATGCAGGGGTAAGGCAGAGACAGGGCTGGGTGCGTGCGCGGCTCGTTTAGACAGGAGGTCAAGGGCTAGGGGGAAGTATTTCCAGGCAGAGGAAACAAGCCAGCTGGAGGGCCCCGGAGGGGCAGGCAGCATGGCTGGAAGAGGTGGTCTTAGACAAGGGGAGAGACAGGCAGGGGCCAGGACAGTTACCAAGCCTCTGAGCCTGTATCCCCACCAGTGACAGCAGCTGAGACTGCAGAACTCACTTTGTAGGGCTGCAGTGAGGATGAAATGACACACCCAGGCACTCAGCTCCAAGCCCAGCGCGTGGTAAATGCTCCATCACGAGAGTGAATATTCCATGGGGCATACTCCCGCGAGTCTGAGGCGGAGACGAGGACGAGGCTGTACTGAGACCTCCTCCCGGGAACGGTCAGGACAGCTGGCCTCTGAGCCTTAGCCAGTGCTAACTGGACAAGAACCACTGGGTCAGCTGAGGAAAGTGCTCACGGGGCAGTCTGGCTGTCGGGGCTGGAGAGCGGCTGCCTTTCAGGGTGGGAGCAGCAGCAGCTCCAGGTTGAGATGCGAAACCCAGGAAACCCAGGGGAGAGGCCAGCTCTGCCCTGCTGGCCTGGGCACATCACCACCCCTCTGGACTCAGGGGTGCGGACGGGGCGCCCACATGGGCCTGGTTCCCCTATAAACACCAACAACGGCTGACATGCCATCCCAGGACACCTCTGGGGAAGAGGGACTGCCTCTCAGACCCAGGGCGAGGCTTCCAGGAGGGACTCTGGAGCTGGCCACTCCCATATCTCAGCACCTACCAGTTCCTTCCAAAGAAGGGAGAGGAAAAGCAGAAACCACCAACTTTCAAAATGACACACAGTCGGTCCCCAGGGTCCTCCCTAAATCAAGCGCCTGCCAGCTTCTTGGGTGGTTGCTACTTCCCCTTCTGGGGCCCAGCCGGGCGGGGGGGCGGCCCCTCCTGCTGTTTGAACCTCGGGCTGCCCCTGGGCAGGGCCAGGGGCAGCCCCAGCTGCTTGCTCCCTGGACGGAGTTTATAAGCCATGTCCCCCAACAGGGAGGGGCTGCCCTCGGACAGTTCAAAGGGGACTTTCACCAGGCAGTCTCTGTGGTTGAAAGCACTGCTCTCTCCCCTCCTCCTATTTTAAAACAAGAATCACAGACAAAGCAGCAGGCACGGGGGACTCTATAAACTATCACTTCCATCAGGAAAGAGGCCATTTCTGCTTTGTCCACAGCTGTACCTGATGCTACATCTGCCACGTGAAACACTCAACAGGGCTATCAGACGAACAACAAGATAAATGAAGAGACAGGAAAAAAAGACAAAACTGGGCTTTAAGACTTATGTTTGAGGGCCTTCCCCGCCAGTCCAGGGGAGAAGACTCCATGTTCCCTGCATGCTGTGGCCAAAAACAAACAAACAAACAATGGAGAAAGAAATACGTTTGACAATAATTCTATTTCTGGAAATAACTCCCCCAAACCAGATTTCAAACATACATGGAAGCTTCTAAAGCATTAATTCCAAGAGTGAAA